TCATATGCTCAAATAAAAGCATCATTCCAGTAAAGTGGCATAAGGCTTTTGTACAGAATGATGAATTATGTCCAACGTTTAAAACTAATCTCTCTTGTTACTTTTGCCTCTCCACTCTGAAGTTCTTTTTTTTTTTTCTTCCATTTCTGTCATTTGGGATGGAGAAAAAGACAGATACTACATTTGTGTCATGGAAAATTATTGCACAATTCAATAACATTGTACATAAAGGAATAGTAACTGACAGATGCATAGGAATTACTGTGCAAGATTAGACTAATGGTGCACATAGTTCAGTACCTTTTCTCCCTGAAATAGACAGTTCTAGGTGTCTGTGCACCTGGAACTGATGGGCTTGCACTTCAGCATTTAGTATAACTGCAGTGATCTCTGTGACAGTCCCTCTGCAGTGTCTGTCATTCAAGAAAAATACAGAACAGGCTTTTCAACAGAAGCAGGCGTTGTTTCACATCACTGCTAGTTCTGGGACATTGTGAGTCTGATGCACTGTGTTTCCTTCTGACTGTTTATGTGTATGGCTGTCTCTGCACATCCAGTAGGAGCTTGTACATCTTGCGTTCAATTTTATATCTAAGGCTCTCAGTGGTATCACTTCTCACTTTAATTAGCTAGCGGGCCATGTGAAAAGTTCTGGGCATCTAACACGCTTTCTTCTTTGCCTACGTGCTCTCTTTCAGTCATTCTTTGCATCAAGCATTTTGAGCTTGTTGATACATCCCGGCCTTCATCTTGGTAGAAATATGGACCATAGCTGCCAGTTACATTGTTCTGCTGGAGTTTTAAAATATGTTTAAATATTTAGTTACAGGAACTGTTAATGACTTTTGTTTTTCAAAAAGATGTCTCACATAAAATTAAAAAAAAAATCAAATAGGAGATGGCACAAGCACACTAGCGGCCTGTTGGACCATATATAACATCAGCGTCAGTTGCCTCACTGGGGTCTTTTCATATAAGTATATTTTTGTTGTAAAGTCAAAGAAGAGATGGCATTTTGGGAAGACTGTCTTTCTCATGCATATCTTGAGGTAAAGAATGAGGCATTCTGCAACATGTAGTTCCAATTTTGTCTTTAAATGGGTAGCGAACTGTGCTGTTGCCAACTCTGTAGGGAAAGCAAGGGTGGGTGTGGGTGGGAGAGCGGGGAAATTTCATTTCAAGGGCCGATCTCTAAACAGTTCTACAAGCTAAGCAATGTGAGCCTAATATTCTAATTCCAAGGGGACTCTTGACACTGCATAGTAAAATTGCTTATTAAATTACAATCAAGAAAAAAATCAGGAGATAGACACTATTCAGCTAGCAGCATACAGAAAAAAAGGCAGAATTCTAATTATTTGAATAGCAGTGTTAGTGCTCTTTTACTATGTGAAAATAAAATTAGCTTGTCACCAATATCATCATTAATGTATGAGATGAGGTGGAAATACAATTTGGTTCCTAACATGCTGCCTCCCCCTTCCCCCTAGCCCCCAAAACAGAGAGAATTACCTAAAAGTAAAACAGGCTTCTATAAGGGCTTTCTGATACAGGGAGCTGTGACAGATTTCATTGCTACAGTACTAAAATGTAGATGATTTGCAAATTACCTTCATTTGAAGATGGGGCATTGTGTAAACAGTAAGCATTGCATTTATTATTTACCCAGTTAGATCAAAATGTAAAAAGGCATGTCCAGTATCAGAAACACTGTTTATTACACTAATCAGAAATGGGAAATATATTTTCAGGTACTTTAAACCTTATGTGTTCTTTTATTATGCATGAGCAGCTATTACTACTCTTCAGTCACATACATCTCTTAAGGTAGTCATATTGCAATCTCTGCCTTTAGAATGGCTTTCAAATAAATAAAACAACTTTTTTGCATAAAAAGATATTCTGCAAACATAATTAAGTATTGAAATTTACATTTTTATGAAGGTAACATCTTCATACACAGGATGCATTGTAAAAATTTTAGAGGTTTTGCTTCACTTTGTCATTAGAGCTAGCACAAAAGAATTTTATTTAACATTACAACACTGAACACATCTTATGCCCTTGAATGTGAACTGCCTTGAATTTTGTTAAGACTGTTCTCCATTCTCATTTTCACACTCAATGAGCCACTACTGTTTCAGTACAAAAGGGATCAGCTAATAAAGCTGTATCATGAAACCAGTTGTAGAATCTAATCAGATTCTTTAAAACTCATTTATATTTAGCCAATAGTCACAAATCTAGCTGCAAATATGGCTCGAGATGTGACCTCTTTTTCTGAGTATAGTTTGGGAATACAAAATCAAATTTGTAAAAAGACTACACTTTAAAAAATAATTTTCCTATTATGTTATCCACATTATGTTATAGACATTAAATGTAAAATTTATAAATATCCAATGGCCTTATATTTGCATGTATAGATTTGTGTTTTCCCTAAAAGGAGATCTCTAATAATTAACATAAGACTTTTCATTAAAATTAAAATATAATAAACTATTAATAAGAGACTCCAAATTAGAAATGTATTCTTATAGTAAATTTGTTGACTCATCACTTTGTCTTGATAAAATCTTACAGAAACACAACCATCTAAACTGGTAGACTTTTTTTTCCTGTCATCTACTGAGATCGGTGATAAGGAAAGAAAATATGGAATTTTTCTTTTCAATCCTCCCTCCGATGCTGCTGTGGCACTCCAGAAAGTATCTTGACTGGACATAAAGCAAAAGGCATCAAGGGGGATTGCTTGGGAAGATAAGGTTCAGACAGTGAACTCTTGTGTTGGAACAAATGTCTCACCTTCTACATCTTTTTTCAGCCAGGACTGATATGCTGTTGATGAGGAAGGGCTTTTAGGGCTGTCAGAGCAGCGTCTCTTGTGATACAGATGAGCAGGAATGATGTTTACCCTTTTAAAAGTGCATGTGTCCAGCTCCAAAGGAGTTAAATGCCTACCACAGCCCTGTGACTTAGGCCAGGAAAATATTGATTGTCCCCCAAAAACCCGCAGAAGCCAGGGATCTAAGGATGAAATTACCTAAGTTTGGCAATAAAATATTTAAAAATAAAGGACTAAACCTGATCCATTAAAAAGGATTAGGCTCATAACTCTGAGGTTTGAGGAAATATTTTGAACTATACCCTGCAGCTAGACCCTAAAACTGCCTCAGGAAGCTCAGACTCATATATCCCACCAAAACACCATCACAACCAGACTGTGAGCTCAAACATGAAATGCTCTTAACCAACTTGTTTAGAAGGTTTAACTATTCCTTGGGGAAGAGATGAGAAACTAGGCTGATCTTTTCTTGGAGAATGTCCTATCACAAATCTCCTTTGTCACCTTACTTCTTCATTTTCATACCCAAAAGCACTTGTAATTGTTTCACAAGTGGAAAAGCTGTGAAGGGATCAAGAGCATGACACCCTGCAGTGCTGGCTAGGGCAACCTCAGAGATGGCAGTAGGTGGGGCATAAAGTTCTCTGCATTGCTGACATGCAAAAGGAGTGATCTGACCTGGATTAAGAAAAGGGAGTAGGGGAGGTGCTTGGGCAAAAATACAAAATAAAGTATTACCTTTACCTTAAAACTGCTAAAATCAGTAGGTTGTTTGCCACTGACTTCAACCACAACTGAGCAAGCAAAGGCTTTAAAAAAGCAGCTGCAAAAACCACATCATACAAAGGACATCTTAACCGCTATCATAAATATCATACAAAATAAATGTTAACTGTACGTTTTTCATCAGCAGGTGAGACTCAGTGATGAGAAGTTAGCTTACTGGCACATCACCACAGACACAGAGTTTTACTTTTGAACACTTTTTGGTAGAACAAGCATCTTCTCAGTCAGTTGAAATCAAGCCTCAACAACTCATAGACAATTTTTTTTTCTATTTTTCAAAGCAAATTAACAGATATTTACATGCTTGTTTTTAACTGCGGCTTCTCTTCAATTGCCAAACAGGTGTTCTAGTTAATTTCTTCTTTTGTTTCTGTCAGAAATATAATGCTGAGCAAAATCTATTACTGCTTGTTGAAAGCAACTACTACTAAGTGAGCTCAGCTCTACTGCCTGCCTTCTTCTACCATCTAGTGGCACTTTAAGAATACTGCTTTCTCTATATATAACTTAGAGAGTTATTTGGAGAATGATAATAAATGTATACGCTTGAAAAGAGAAATGTATCTGCAGAAGAAATACTTTGTTGTGAAAAGGGAAAATAGTTTTCATACATAAGCTATTTATGGGAGAAGAGACCAGGTTCAATGGTATAAATTACTAATGTCAGAAAAAAATTCTGCATGCTGTGGTCTTGCAAAGAGCAAGTCAGGTTTGTTGATTGAATTATTATAGTTTTGTGGGGTTTTTTGTTATGTGGTAGCACTTGGATTTTAAGTTGAAAGCTGCAGAAAAAAACTATTCCATTTCCTAAGAAAACACCTATCAGAAACACACTTGGTTTGCCATTTACCTGGATATTTAAAGGGCACAACAAAAAATTAAAGATATCATCAAAAGTAAAGAATAATAGAAAGGCTATAGTTTCCTTTCTGTTTACATAATTTTATTAAGTGCTTTCAGTGCTCCATTTTGCAATAGATATTTCTATTTCATTTAAAGAAAAAGAGATTAAATGTCAATGTACTACAAATTTCAGGCTTGGGATGTTTTCAATCAAAAGGCATGTTCTGCATAATTATATGACTTTGAACAAACATGAATCATCTAAAATGCTTTCTGTTCTTTGAATTGAGATTTATTATTTTTTTCACAAAGTGCTGGGTTTGGTGAATTAGACTATAAATGAAACCATGTATTCATAGAATTCTGGAAAAGGTATATTTCTTCCTTTCCACTTGCAGCAAATTGACAAGGCAAATTGACAGAAGGTAGAATGTAGAATCTCAGGATATCTTTTGTTTTCTTTCCTTTTAAACATTTGCTGTTATATATTCTGGGCATATTGATAAGTTGTCAACATGTTTTCCAGGGTGGAAAAATCCCCATAAGGTGGACAGCTCCTGAAGCTATAGCTTACCGGAAGTTCTCTTCAGCAAGCGACGCGTGGAGCTATGGGATTGTAATGTGGGAGGTGATGTCCTATGGTGAGAGACCATACTGGGAGATGTCCAACCAGGATGTAAGTACTGCCAAGGACTAATATTCGAGTTGTAGAAATGTTCCTTGAAAATTATTGTCGCTCCCTGCCCTGCTTTGCTTTCTCATTCACTTTCTAGGCTAGAAGCTCAACTTAGTTAAATCAGCATAGCTCTGTCAGCTTCAGTGTGATAGTTAATTGATGAAACCTGAAGACCTGGCCTTCTATAACTAAAACTTTGACTAGCTTCCTCCTATGGATTAAAGATATATTACAAAGAGTCATAGCCAGCTTCCCAGGTTCTGATGTTGGCTTTATGTGGCTTTCACCCAAATTCCTGGGAATCTGCATCAGATATGCAAGCTGATGCAGTTCTCAGTCAAGCTATAAACCAAAGCTTATTGAGGGAATACTGGAACTATTCTGATGATAAAGTTGGCCTATTATCTCCAGTGCAGTCTGACAGTACCCTTTAATGGGCATATATGTTTAAATTCTATAAGACTTAAGCTGCCATGAGAAAGATATGTGCTGATTCTCCTTTCTACGAATTAAATAAATTCTGTTTTCCTTAAAAACTACGTACTATAGGCTTAACCACAGTGCAGGACAACAGTCCCCCTTCATAACGAAATTGTGTTTTTCTCAGACTTTTTTTTTTGCAAAAGTTGTGGCCAAAGCCTTCCCAGTTGAAAAAAAAAAAAAAATTCTTCTAGTAAAATTGAAGGCTTGTCCTAGAAAATGAAGCATGGGAAAGGGGGAGTGCTTTTTTCTCCACCCATGACAACTCAAACTGGTACACTCAGTCTTCACACCAGCCATCAATCTCTATGTCAAAATGCAGAATATTAGCCAGCCCATCTTAACCTCTCTCATATATGCGCCTAGAATACCTCTGCATTGGTTCTGAAGAGCTGACAAGGCTTTTCCCAGATGGCTGCTTTTATATTGTTGCTAAGTTATTCAGCTGTTCAAGTCTGGTTGCTTGTTAAGGCTGATCAGTCATTTGGGGATAAGGATCTGAGCGAGGTTTTCATTAAAAAAACATCATTTCAGAGTGTTTCAAGAAGAAAAGCTAAAAAAAACCCCCACAACCCAAACCACCCAAACCAGAAAAGACTAGCAGAACTAAAAAAGCCTTACTTCTTTTAAATTTGTACTCTACAGCTTCACCAGTGCTATAATCCTACTTCTTTTTAGCATTTGTCTTGTGAGTTTAGTCTTTGGAATTAGACCACCTCTCCTGTACATCATTCTCCCCTGACAATGCCTACAGCCTCCATTCCCCCTCCACACACCTACTTGCCAGCAGCCCAGCTCCCTGCTGTTCTCCTTAATTAACACCAGGTATGGGACAATACATGCTGTGCCTGGTTTTGAGCTACGCTTCTGTTGATGGACCAGGCAGTGGTGGCTGGTTGCCCACCTGAAGATAAAAAGTAACCACTGTGCTGAGGTGAACCTTTTTCTTCAGTGGAGACATTATTTTGCTAGTACCTGAATCATGGACATATCACAGATCTCCTGTGAAATAAGCAGATAAGTCCAGTAGGCTCAATTCTATTTCCCACAGCTAGCAGTCTGTTGGCATTTGAGATGCTCTAGAGTAACTCAAATCTCCACATGTGGCTTATGCAGGATGTGCAGGAGACTTCAGTTTTTCTGGAGCAACAACTGAAGGTCAAGCAGGATACCTTAGGGAGTCTAAAATTAGAAACCTATGCTTAGACAAGTAGCTTTAGCTACTTTTTCCCTGGGGCATAGTGTGAAATCATCTGTATACAGATTTCTCATATATTTAAGTCTCTATGTCCTACAACAAACTATACCTCTGCCAGCTGCTGATTCTTGCACAACTTATATTATCTAATTCAAGCGGGCCAATGGATTCAGAGCTAATGAAGGAGGATGAACAGACAGACTCTGACCAACAATATGAGTACCCCAGCTAATTTCTTGCCTGAACTGAGAGCCACTTCTCAGCTCCTGGACTACCATAGCTTGCAAACACCAATTTAAGGCAAACTGCCATTGTTTTCCTTTAAAAGTCCCATTGTAAGAGGTGGTGGTTTAGGAGCTGATTGCTAAGGAGTTGGGACAACACTTCAGCCTTGCAATAGCAGAGTGTGTTATTCTTGAGCTAATCTCAGGAGCACAGACATGGCAGTATCAGCCTGTTCATCATTAGTACGCTGTTGCAAAACCTTATTATTCCGCATTGCCAAGGAATACACTTTCTGTCAAAATGTACATATAGCCTCAAATTTTCTGCCTTCCCAAAAAGGTACTAGCAAATCACAGAATCACTCAACAGCTGAGGTTGAGGAACCTTTCAAGATGGTCTACTCTCAGCGCCCCCTACTCAAAAGGTCAGCTAAAGCAGTTTGTTCAAGGCTGTCTCTGATCAGGTTTTGAATATCTTTGAGGATGGAGACTCTACAAATCTCTGGGAAACCTGTGCCAGTCACCTGCACAACAGAAAAGTGTTTCCTTAAATTTTGATGGGATTTCGTGGGTTTCAATTTGTGCCCGTTGCCTTTTGGCCACTCAACACTCTCTGAGTAGTAAGTACCATGTCTGCATGTGCCTTTACAAGTGAGGGTCACTGGGCAGTTACTTTCTCCCTTCCGCTCCCATCAGGACTACCTGGTTGAGGGCCGGTGCTAATCATAAATGCAGCAATGGATCACTGTCCTTTCTGCTGGTGTCCCTGTCAGTTGCCATGGGCACATCCCTGAGCATGTCGTGGGAGATATTCTATTGCCTGGCTTTTCTCACCATGTAATTGCTATTTCATATCTCCCTTCCCTCTGCAGCACTCCAGTCATGGCTGTTTTTTTTAGAGATCAAAGAAGCCCATGAAGCCAGAGATATTCCTGAACAAAGTTGGCCCTACCATGGTGCCTGCCTTCTGTGCAGTGCCAGTGCTTCCAACTGCAATGTCACCTCTCAGTACCTCTGCACCTCATCTTGCCAGTCTGCTTATCTAGATGCAGGTGATGAGCAGCTGGTAGTGACTGCGGCTTGATGAGGTGTCAGGAAGAAGGTGGTTTTTTGCTGTATCATCCTGTCCCACTGTCATGCGATCTTGTGCTATAACACGGGGAATTTCAGTCTCTATTCCTGTTATGAGTGATTTCATCTGGTGTTGGGTCAACTCTCTCTGAGGAACCCAACTGTCAACATCTCTCTTACTTCTCCTGTAATCATAACCCTTCTCCTCACACCAGCTCTGTTACCAGCCCACCTCTTGATGCTCCCACTGCTGTTGCCGCTAACTGGGAATGGGGGGAGAGAGACTTTCTATTAAGTCCATTCGGCCCCACTATTCACCTCCTGCGAAGAGGGTTTGAATGACTGGTAAGACCCTGACATATAGTCTAAGCCACCAGGTGAAAGTAGTGCATAACACAGAGCTTCATTCCAGCTGCCTCTCCCTTTCTTTGAGGCTGGCTCCAGCCTGTCCTCTTCCCTTCTATCAGACCCTACAACATATCTGTTCAAGACCAGGCCAGCAGTGAGAATTCATAAAGCAACCCCTCCATTTAGAGTGTATTAAATACTCTGCTACAGCATGAAGATAGCAACATTTAGTTACTCCTACATTCAAAATAGAAGTATCTGTTAATACAGAATAATGATGTGGGCCTCATGGATGCTGCTTGTGCTAACGATGCTGACTCCTGAGGGCTTTCCCTGCAGTTCAGCAAGGCACAGCACAAAGAACTCCTTTTCACCAAAGCCCTACCCACAGGCTTTCAGTGCCAAAATGTTAACAGTGAGCACCTGTGACATTCTAAGTACATTTAATAGCTCTAAATGTCATTGGGAAATTTCAAGTTATTAGACATATTGTAAAGCTCACTTTGCTAGATATTGGGACATTTCTTTTAGTACAGTAAATTACCCTGAATTCACGTCATCTTATTTTGCAGAAATAATAGGACTTTCCCAAAGGTCAGTGATGCTGTAGGTACGGCAGGGAAAGTAACAGAGAGAGGCGTGCATTAAGCAGATTCATAAAAGACACATTATGCAAACAACTGTTAATAAGGTCTTACACAGGTATGGTGAGAGGTTCTGCTACAATAAAATGTCTGGCAACATTAATATTATAACGCTTACTGTGTTTTGATCTTAATGAAACTCTTTTCTAGTTAGCAATAAAATATTTATTGAATTGGGTGGGGTTTTGTAAAGTACCAAAAGTTGTCCAAGTATAAACTCCACAGATCCGGCTGTATTTTTTCACATTCCATGTTACAAATTGCTTTTCTAATTAAACAGCGTTGGGAAAATAATTCACTTTTTTAGACCGTGGCTAAGTAAATGATGTTTTGAGTGGGTGCCAGTTACTCAATCATTTCTTACGTGGGTAACATAGAAGCCAATGATATTCCCACCCTTACCCAAAGGGAGGCAATGCTAGGAGAGGCGAGTTCAGTGCTGTCTGATGTGGTGCCTGTTTGCCACGAGGACACACCTTCAGTCAGATGAACAGCGGGGCTGAACTAAGTCTACCAAGGGTCTCTTGTCCAACCCCTCAGTGACAGCAATCAAATCACAAGGAGCCAGCACTGGTAGCATGGAGCCTGAGCTGATGCTTACAGAAGTGTTAAGATGATATCTCCCACCTAAATAAACCCAGTTTGATTTTCAGAGACTACAACTGTTCACAAGTATCCATCAGGTCAGTGCAAGCCAGAGAGACTCAACACCTCTGCAAGTCTAGCGTCCTCTATTTATATTCCTAAACAGGGATTTGGAAGCTGAACTTTAAGCAACTGAGTTTGAAAATCTCATAAATTTTTTAATACTGTAGACAGTGTAATGTAGACACTTTAAAATGTTATTAACTTTGAGAAACGTTTTTGTTTAAGTAAATAACCATTTTATTATTGTGGTAAGTCACTTCAGACCTGCGTTGGTGCTGATTAATGCACTTCTTAGATGTGTGGCAGGCACCAGAGGTGTCCATTAATTAGGGCTGCTGCACAGTCTGTCACGTCTTATTGCTTAATTAATAAACATTAGCTAAGATATTGAACTTTCTAAGGAAACTAGTGTACTGATGAACAGATTGTGCAAAGAGCCTGGCTTGCTAATGTTCATGTTTGGAAAGGAAGATTTATATTCCATGCATTTGGTTTGTAGAACAGCTGTGAGTGAAGTCTACTGGGACACCTGTTTGAGGCCACTGTATAAATTAATGCATGTTGCAGAACTACAGTATTCCAAAAAAAAAATTAATGGATTGTAATCAATATGCAAGAAAAGTACTGTAGCAAACAGAATAAAAGTCCTTACACTTATGAAAGTTTCTTGTAATAGTAAAAATAACTTACCCTATTATAGTTCTTTCAACTGATATTTCTTGTAATAGTAAAAATAACTTACCCTAATATAGTTCTTTCAACTGATAGTTCTTTCAACTGATATCAAAACACTTGGCAGGCACCTGGATTGGCTCTGTAACATGAGGCATGAGCAGCTGCCTCTCCCTCCTGGTAGATTTTTCAGTTGTCAGCAGGACACAGGACAATGTCCCTCTGGACTTTCTTCTGTCTCAGTCGCATAAAAAAATCTGTCAGTTATCTTTTGAAAGCAAAAATCTATGTTACTATTAATAATGAAACTATCAGAAAGATTACAGCTTAATTTTCAGATGCCATTTTTGCCAACTTCAAATTATTTTGAAATTAAAAATGCACAAATTTTATGTAGAAGTCCGTAAAATATTTTTCAGATAATTTTGGTATCATAATTAATATTTAATATTAACCTTGTCTTCAACCTTTACTGCTATTTCTAACATCAAACAAAAATGATGAAATGTGTTTAACAGGCTCCAGTGCTTAATATAATCTACATACAAAAATATATAAAATGAATGGTCCCCTTTATAAACATAAAAGCCTAAGTATTAAAAAGCATGAAAATAATGAGCTATGTTAACTGTAAAAAATATTCATTTTCCCTTAGAGATTATCTTCTCACCTGCCAAAAAGCATTACTTGTAAAAATGCACCCTACCTTTTTTACTCCCCTTAATGATGGCCCACAAGACCTTCTAATGAGTTCTAAACATACTCATTGCTGAAAAGAAACCTACAGCATCTTTCTCAGTGATTGACAGCAGCACAGCATATTTGCATGTTTTCTTCCTTTTGATACCCATCAAATGTTTGTCACAAACCTAGAACTAGAGAGCAGTAATCAGCCTTTTTGTTAGCAGAATCAGGGCTTTGTATGTATAGAAACTAAGCTAATATTCCTATTTTTTTCAGGTTTAAATAGATGGGACATTGGTTTGCCAATGTGGAAAGAGTTATAGTGATTGCTAGAGCTATTGCTATATCCTTCTCATAGATACAGATATTTAGGCCATTTCTCTATTAATGTGATGCTTCTTCAACCTCAAACTGGCAAGGAAAGAAGCATTTAAAAGATGTTAACATATATAATCTTTACATATTATACAATATATAATTTTATATTACCAAGAAAAATTTATTACTTCTTCCCTTTTATGTATATGGATATCTAATTCCTCTGTGCAAAGATAGGTGCTATGCAAGTAGCAAAGCGGGAGCTAAAATAAATAAATAAATAAATAGGGAACTAAAAAGCTCTAATTCTTCCTTTGAGACTTGACTCCCATTGCAGTATTAGGCATCATCTCTTTACTCTTGCTTCTTAGACGCTAAAAATAATACTTGCCTCACAAGGGATACTAATGAGGCAATATTTGCATTTTATTTTTAAAGTGTGCTGGTATTAATGAGAAATTATAATTATCCCAGTACCAGCTGCCATTTCTCTTCATACTGAAATGTTCCTTTTGAACAAGAGAGGAAACAAAATTCACTGTAACTTTTTTTCCAAAGATATGGTAAAATAGAGCATGTCAGAGAAAATAAAATGTCTAGAAAATTGTGGTTGCTTTTGGGTTTTTCCTGAATAATTTATTTCAGGAAGACTTCATTAGCTCTCTATTGTTGTGTTAAGCGAGTGCTATATATCTTATAAAAGTTGAAAAGCTTTCCCTTGGCTGTAAAAACAAAATATGTATCAGAAATTCATCATTTATAATAGATGTAGTTAAATGTAAAGACTATAATATCTGCATTTTTGGGCTGCTAAAAATTGCTTCTTCAGTGACAATTATCAACTACGCCATACCCACCCTGTAACAAGTACCTATGCTTGATGAAGCCACTTAGGACATACTGCTTAAGATACATGAGTTTTGACAGTTTTGTGAATAAAATTTCATGCACGTGAAGTTAAATTTACCCCAACCTGACTCTGTAACATGAGTAATCTGGGTGGCATATTCTTTGTTAGGAGGCAAGGCTTAAGAAGAAATATTTCTCTGGCAATCTGATGGTATTTTTCCCTGTAGCAGCCGTTTTGGCAGCTTGGATTTTGGACCATTAAAGTAAATCCCAGGGAGATAAGTAGCCAGAAAAGCAGGTGGAAGGATTATCATATTGACATATCATTTACTGCCAGATATCACCTCTGCATGTGTGTGCCCAGTCCTGTCTGCACATATGTGATCTGTCAGTACTCACAGGTGCAGAAAATTCAGAGATCCCTATGGCAGGTAATGCTGCTTTTGGAGCAGCCTCTGCTTCCCAGTGCTGTTGCTGACGGGTCTGAATCTTATCGCGTGCAAATCTGGTTCCCTGCCACATTGCAAACACTTTGTTTTTCCTGCATGGGTGTTTCTGCCAGGATATAAGAGGGCTATATGCTGTAGGATCAAGTCACTTCATTTTATAAAACTCAAGACACCCAGTTGTGTAGAGCTACAAAAGTCTTGTTCCATTTTCTACCATGCCATGATGGGGAGCTAAGGTCCTAATGTAGTTTCATTACTCTTATTTATTTGCATAATGATTGCAGCATAAGCATTAGGCATTGCTAAACAGAGCCAACAACATTAATTCAGAATCCAAAAAGAGAATGAGGATATATTCCAGGATAATAAGAGTGAATATATTGAAGCTACAGCTAGTGCTATAAAACATTGATTTGCTGTAAACAGTTTAATGTACCCCCTTCCATCTGCATTAATATGTCTGCAGCATGTACATACATCTGTGTGAAAACGATAAATGTCTCCTTAAAGCAGAGTAGGTATAAATGCAGTAGGTATGTTTCTCATAAGAGCACTGTGTTATTATAAATACTGTGTACAATCGTTTGTATTTTAGAGAACATTTAGCACTGGGTGAATTTTTATGTGGAAGGGTTATGTGGGGGATGGGGGTTGGTCTTTTTCCTAGCTTTGTTTTTGATCAACAGCTTATTCTCTCCATTCTTCTATACACAAGAAATCTTGACTATGTAATTTCTACCATCATCCCCACTGCTACCGCCACCCATTGCAGAACATGGTAACCTTTCCTCTTGCTTTTTAAATCTGGCTTGGAATGAATCCAGCCAGCTTTTCATGGACCTTACCTACTTTTGCTACCTCCTATCATGCAGGGCTACTAATGTCCTTTACAGACCATGTTTTTTGTTACCAGCGTTACTGAAAACAAGCCTTCCTTCAACTCTGATCAAATATAATTTTTCATACATGTGATTTCTCTGTGACATCAGATCTGTTTCTTCCCAAATCCTGACCAAACACGTTTTCCACATTTGCTGAATCAGAAGGTTTTACTCACTTTAGGGCATGGGGTAACACCATCATTTTATTAATTTTTGTTTAGCCATAAGCAGCTTGGACATCCAGGTTTCTGAGACAGGCTGTGCAAAATAATTCAGTGCTTCACTGTAAGTCCGTGTGGGACATTGCCAGAATGAATCATACTCTAATGATCAGCAGAAACATATTATCACCAAGTCAGTTTTCCAGGTGCTGCGTTTGTAGTGCTTAATTGTATCATTAACACTTTGCCAGGAAGCCAATATTAGAGCATCCCAGCATGCAGTGGCCATGCAAAGTTAGTGTGTGGCCCTGAGTCCATTCAGCACAACACCAACCTGCAGGCAGATGAAAAAGGCAGTGATACTTGTTAGTTTTTTCCTCTTTCCTTTCCTCCTCCTTTCTTGGCTGTTTGAAGAGGATGGCTGGCAAGCCTAAAAAGTGCCTACTGTGTTTCATGTGCCTACAAAATATTTCTCATCTCCTCTGGTCAAACTCCTGTCAGCGCCGATTCCCTGAGCGAAGCCCCAGCAATGCATAAAGTGAAGGTGTCTGTGCCATTGCTTCTTATCACTGGTTTCTGATTGTCAAATTTACACTGTCCTTTCAGCATTTAACTCTAATGCCCAGTAATCGTATGCATTGTGTTTCTTTAGGTTATACTGTCTATTGAAGAAGGCTACAGGCTTCCAGCCCCCATGGGCTGCCCAGCTTCTCTTCACCAACTAATGCTTCACTGCTGGCAAAAGGAGAGGAACCACCGTCCAAAATTTAGTGACATTGTCAGCTTCCTAGACAAACTGATCCGCAACCCGAGCACCCTTCATACCCTAGTGGAGGATGTACTTGTGTAAGACTCTTTGCAGTCCTTTTTCGGGTATAACACATGGTAGCTATTATTAGGTATTTTAGGGCGATATAGTAGGGGTGGGAGAGAGCTGCAAAGTTCTAAATTCACAGAGTTATGGGGGTTCAAATAACTTTAAGCCCCTTTTAAGATTTACTTTACTGTTAATAAACTATTGTATAAGGATTTTTTTCTTAATCATGCATATTGTATCAGGCATTTTTCTTTTTTTTTTTTTTGTCTGAGCTCTGCTTTTGCACTATCCTTAATCTTTATCAATCTCTTTGTTCATTTTTTTTGGTGCTTCTCTTGTGTGCTTTTTTTCTCTTTGTAAGTTTTTTCTTTATTCAGAAAACTGTCTCTCCATCTGACAGTGCTCAAGCAATTTCTGAACTCTCTTGGAGTAATTTTATGCAGAAAGTAGTTGTGTCTTAGCTTGCTAAATTTTATTTATCTGGGCAACAGTGACCCAATAAGAGATTATGCTATTACCATTCCACCACAAATTCTTGATGGTGTTGCCCAAAGTTTTTTCCATTAATAATATTACAGAAATGAATGCAGCCACATGAGAAGCAAGGTTGTTGTGGAGGAATTTGTCAATTTTTTTAGGCTTATTGATCCAAGCTGTCCCTGGATATCAGCTGAAATCGGTGAAGGTCTAACTGGCCTCACTCTTTTCATTAGCTGAAATTCACCTTAAAATAAAGGTGCTTTCATTGAGACCCCCTAGGTTTATAAGGGGTTCTGAATGCCTGAGTGGGTCTATCTGAGAGCTACAGCAGGTTAAGAGGTTTTGATATGGTTTGGAGAAAGGCTGAGCAACAGGACAAAGACTTGAGGCAGGTATCTTGCTGTGAGAAAGACTAAATGGAGAAGTTACTAGGAAAACCTAGAGTAAGGGCTACAGCCATTTCATTACCACAAACTAGTGGAACTTATGGGATTTAATGCCCATGCACTAGAGTTAGTGGTCTCTATGTGTATGTGTGTATAAATAGATATATGACTTGCTACCTGGGTCACCTTATTTAGAATAATTTCTATAGAATCATATTCTGTATTCTATAGAATCATACAATCATAGAGTATTTTAGGTTTTATTTTTAAGAAGGGACTAATATTTATTAGGTTTATTTTAGGAAGGGACTTTGGTAGGTCTTTAATTGAGACTTGTACTTAATAGTGTTCTCCTGTCCTTCAGTTTTTCTCTTCGATAATATGAATGAAAATCAGTGTGTTTAAAGTATTTGAAAACATGTGGTTGAAACACAGTATGTTGAGATACTAGGGTGTGTTGCTTCCTACATTCACATAAGTATTGTTCCATGAGTTAATGTTGGCTGGCCTTAACTGTCTGAATTTTCATTTTAAATAAACTATATATTTTTCCTGAAGGCTATCATAAAGCTTTTATAAACAGCAGTGTGCTTTTTCTGCGTTCTGTTCCTATAGTTCCTCTACACAAAATGTGCAAAGTCAATGGAAGTTGTGGGCCCTCACCAGCGTGACACACAAGAGAAGACTGGAAATATATGCCCCCAAAATTGGAATCTTTCTGTTTCAGTTTTGATAACATTAGGGGAAAGAAGTGAAACAGAAATGTGACTAAATTAGCTCCTTCATTTTTATTTGCTACTCCATGTAATTCTATGTAAAACCAATGATGTAAAATTTTATTCTTTTTGCTTCTTTTATGGTTAGTTTTAGGTTTTGAAATCTGTAATCAAAGAGTTTCCATTGTATAATTATATAGCGATAAGGAGCCATTTGGGGATTTTCTGTAGATAAATGTAAAAATTAACTCGCAGTGTTTTAACATTTTTAAATTGTCTCTCATGTTAAATTTTGTCTACTTTGACTATTGTATTTGCAAATTGTTATCATCCTGAACACATAAGATCTGTAAAAAACATGCTGTGGGAACAAAAATAAGAGTAGTGGGAGAGGTCTGTTCTTCAGTTTGTTACTGAGCTGCAGTGCTTTAAAAAAAAGTGTTGTCCAAGTTGTACAGCTTGGCAGACTGACATGATTTGTAAGTTTTAGACAAAGGGTTAAAGAGATTTTCAGTTAAGATCTGACCTTTACAGCTCAGACTCCTCTCTCATTCCTTCTGCCTTTTAATAAAAACAATGTCTGCCAGAGTAAATCGAGCTTCATATTTTGTACTGCTTTGGTAACCTTTGCATTTTCTTTTTACAGAATGCCAGATTCACCTGGTGAAGTTCCAGAATATCCTTTGTTTGTTTCAGTCAGTGACTGGTTGGACTCCATAAAAATGGGTCAGTATAAAAACAACTTCATGGCAGCAGGTTTCACTACTTTGGATATGGTTTCAAGAATGAGTATTGAGTAAGTATGTAATCTATTATCCCTACAGTTACTAATCAATCTGAATTTCTTTGGATGCTGCAGAAATGTAATTATCATGATGTATGCAACAGTGCTTTCATTTCCTTTCCTACCTAAGCTAATAAAAGACAAGCACAGGTTTTAACCAAAACAGTGCAGGAAAAAGGTGTGATTAAGAGACCAAGAACTGACAGTTTCATTCTGTGACCATACCAAACACTGCCAAAGCTCAGCCAGAGAAGATCTTAAATATTTCTTGGGGAAGCAGTTTGGATTTAGACCACTCAAATCAGGGGCAAAAATTTTTTCTTACTTTGCTGTGAAAATCAAGCCTGTGTCAGTCCTCATGTGGAAGTTGTTCCATGCCTTCTTGCTGCCTTTCTTCAGCCATCTCTGTTTCCCATCTAGTATTTTTTAAATGAAAGTACTGCACTCCGTATATAAGGGATTGGGCAAAGTATTGATTAATATGGTAGCATAATGATACAATCTGGGTTTTTTTCTATATTCCATTCCCATTAATTCCTAATCTTGTATTTGATTCTAGGACTATTTGTAATCCTAATGGTAATAGTCAGTTAAGATCTAGTAATTTTACATGTGAAGTTAGGACTGGTTTTCTCCCGTGTGTATCACTTTACATTCACCTATGTTGAATTGCATTTGCTGCTTTACGGCATAGTCACTTAGTCTTATAAGATCCTTCTAGAACTTTTCACGGCTGGCCCTTTTCCATACTACTCTGCACAATTCAGTCTCACCAACTAACTTTTTCACTTCTGTGCTCACCTGTTTTTCCACACCATTTACCGATTTGCTAAACAGTAATGTTTGACATTATGCCAGCACAGGTCCCTGCAGGTTTCCATTGGTCACTACCTTGTAAAGCCCGACAACTTATTCCTAGCCTCCTGTCTTTAATCTTGTTATTTAGTCATGCAAATACCTTCTTATGCCATAGCTACTTATTAAGCTTTTGGAAATCCAAGTCAGGTGTATCAAATGGATCGCCTTCATCCATATGTATGCTGACTCCTCTACTGGAAACAAATAATTTTATAAAACAGGACTTCTCTTTGCAAAGGCCATAGTGATTCAAGTAGATCATTTATCCAAGCATCCAATAATTCTGTACTTCACTGTGTTTTCTATTATGCCTGTAATGATTTCAGGCTCACAGGTCTGTAGTTCCCCAGATCTCCCCTGGAAAATTCTTATTTTGCCTGGCACCACTCTCCATGCCTCAGGCACCAACAAATTTTTAAGCAAGTGGAAGAGAGCTGAAACCTTCCTCTCTCAAATGCCTTTTAGTAATTCCACTACTTCATCTTTGAACTCTTTTAAAATTCTTGGGTAAATAAAGTCTTGTTCTGGAGGTAGGTTATTCCTTGCTTTTTCAGTTTGTCCTAAAACCTGTACTGTCATCATTTCAACTTCAGACAGATCCTCTGACCAGTATTCCATAAAGGTTCTGGCATGGGAGTCACTTCAACTTCTTACACAGTGAATATCAACTCAAATAATTTAGTCTTCCACCAGTGGTCAGTCTTTCAGTGTTCTTTCATATCCAAATCATCATTAGACTCTACAGACACTGGCAGGCTTCTTGCACATCCATGAGCTTGCAAAAAGATTTATGAGGAGTTTTATTATTTGTTGTCTTTTTCTGGTTGTTCCCTAAAGTGTTTTTTTTAGCCTGCCTTACTGTGCTTTTACAGATTATCTGCCTAAGGTTATCATCCTTTCTACTTCTTTTCTTTAGATACCACTTCAGCTTTTGAAAGATTCCTTCTTTCTTCAAATAACCTCCATTACCGTAGGCCTGCTGGCTTCTTTCTGAGCTTTATCAGGCCTTCCTTGATAAAGGCTATGCATTGTTCCTGCATTTCTAATACCAGTCCCCCTGGAAAGATTTATTCTTTTAGCTGACTGTCTTTAGCTTCTAAAATTCTCAGTATTTTTGCATAGTCCCTGCTGACCTTAAGTGCTGTGTATTATCCCCTATGTGGATGTTAAGCCCAAATACATAACAGTTGCCTCTATCCAGTGGCTCTTCATCTGGAGGATACAGAGTGGGTATCTTGAACTGCAAATCTGAAACTCAGAAAGGTCATGCCTCATCCCATGGGCTCCTTTACTAACTGTATCGTTAAACAATTTTTTAGGGTATCTAAACAGGTGATGTCTGTGCTACGTCCCAGTGTGGGATTTGCACAATTGACAGGGCTTATCTGAAGTTTCCTGCCCTCAACACCTCTGTGATTTTTCTCAGCATATTGCAGTTGATGTTGTTTAGAGAACAACTGAACTACTGCATTGTGCTGGATGCTGAGGGCCGTCTACTTCATTCCTGCCAAAAATTCAGGCTTTGTTGGTGAGCTACACACTCGGGGGTGCAGGTCTAGATAGGATAGAGGGAAATCTGGGTTGAGCTGGAAGATTCATCATTATTCTGATCTTCAGATCATCTCTCGCCACCATTCCCCAAATCACCAGAAGCACAGCCTCTGTTACTTCAGTCTCAGGACTGCAAGAGTGAGTGTATTAGCCCTGTTCCTTTACAAGTATGAGTGGGAAACATTTGCTACTAACACTAAAACTGGGCTATTAGAACCTATCCCTTAGGCTCTTCCTCGAGATTTGGAAAAATTACTTGACTGTATCACAACAGATACTACTGCGTTAAGTTTGGTTTTTTGTTGTTGTTTTGTTTTGGTTTTTTTAACAGTTATCTTTAAAGATTTGGAATTGACAGGTGCAGAAAGCTTGAGCATTTTTAGCTTTCTTATATGTCCCAGTCAGGAAGGTAAACTGTCCCGAAGTACAGCAATTCAGCATATATTTATAGTCTTTTGTGTGCAAGAGGCTTTACTATACTTGCATCCAAGGTGAAACTTTTTATCTTACAGTGACATTAGAAGAATTGGAGTTGTACTCATTGGACACCAGAGACGAATAGTCAGCAGTTTACAGACTTTGCGGTTACACATGATGCACATACAGGAGAAAGGATTCCATGTATGAAAGTACTAGAATCAACTGTGTTTTGTGCCTCAGCATTTCTAAAATGGAAAAATATTCTCATTCTTCCCTTCTGCTCTTCCCAACTTCAAGAACTGCAGTCTCCTCGTCAGACTACAAAAGTACTTCTATGTTAATGCTTCCAAACTGGAATTTTTAATCACACTGCATAGTTCCTCCGCCAGTTATCTGCCAATAAAATCCTGGCCTACTGCAAGACTCTTGCTACACATTGATGAATAACTCAGCATGGATGTGTAACTTTGTATAACAGTATTTGGGAAACTTTCATGAACTTACTTGAAAGTAGTAATCTATTTGGCCTGGTGTGGCTTCTTTATCGATGTATTTAGAGTTTGCTGGTAGATCAAAAAGTATTTGACTTCTTTCATGTTCTGTGACCATGTAACTTCCAATACCAAATGTGCAATCAAAAAGAAGTTTGACATAAATATTTATTTTATCTCTTAATTAAATCCAAATGTATGGATCCTATCATTATATTACTTTATAATAGTTTGGATGCTGGTAAGCCGGTGCCTCAAAATACTAGTATTGTTTGCAGAAATGACTGATGATTATATGTAGCGAGTTTTCATTGTGTGTATAATCGGGGGGATGGTGAGAGTTTGAAATCTCGAGGTCCTTGATTTTTATTTACTTCAGCACTCGACACTTTTTATGCTTTAAATTTCAGGTTAGGTTGGAAAATTCATTCATTCTTGGGATTCTTCACTACTCTAAACCTTCTGGTTTTTTGCAATTCAAAATTTTGAAGTTTGCTTCCACTACGTGGCAAAATGTCACGGGAAAACTGATTGTAACGTTTCCATAACCACGTGTAAAACATAGTTGTCAGCTATATTATGGCCACATAGACTTCAGAAAGCTTTCTGTTTCAAAAATGCAGGCCTCCGCTGCTTGAACTAAGCATAATTTCCACCAGTGGTAGTAGACCTGAGAGAGCCAGCCATTAGGGGGGCACTGTGCTTATTCCCAAGGGAGCAGGCTGGCCATATCATCCTCCAGTTAAGGGCAGCGGTACAGCCACCAACTAATGCTGGGAGTTACAGGCTGTGGTATGCAGTTACCTTGTACATAGGCAGAAAAGGAGATGTAGGACAGCAGTGTAATAATATGTTGCCTTGAGTCTACTTCTAACTGCTTTTAGAAGTAAAAAGCCGACTGCTGAAATGGAGCTCTGGTTACTACGGGCTAGATCTTCATTTAGTACAGATATCTAAATGACATCCAAGTCAATTATCTTTAGAACTAACTCTTCAATAGCCATATTTACATACAAGAAAATGGCTGCAAAGGCCTAACATAATATTTGTACCTCTCTACGACTTACAGCTTTCATGTTTTGTTCAGACAACTTACACAGACGTGCTGGGCCACGATTCCAAACCTTTGCATGGGATATGCGCTACTGGGAACAGGGGGACAAGCGCATGTCTGCATGCTGTAGAAGTCACGCGCAGATCTACATGTATGTCACATGTAAACTGGGTGCAGATACTTTTGTTGATTTATACATAGTTTGGAGGATGTTTTTGAGTTATGTGCCATTCCAATATACTTAAGCATTACAACTCTTCTGTTAAACCGTGCATTTGGGTAATTAATATAATATATGTGTATATCAACTTACTACTTTATGTAATCATAATGATATTTAATGCCTAATTTAGAGCTTATAAATCAAAATCCTAACTCTTGGAAAAGGCTGCCATTGTATACTGGTGGCAAAGAAGGAAAATACGAAAGCAACTCAGAAAAGATAATGCTTCCAACCAGTTCAGAGTAAGACACGCTAAGTCTGATTCACTGTTGTCACTTTATTTTGGAATGACTGCATTAATTTCAGTGGAATAACGGTGGTGCACTAATTAATTTTTCTTTCTTTCATTAAAACAAAACAACAGATTTAACTGAGGAACAAGTTTTCTAAAGATCAGGATTCACTGATGTTCTACAATGCCACTTTGATGAGGTTGTTTAAAGATGGCCAGCACCAGTCCTATTCTAGCTACAAAGGTAATTTTGCCAGAATGAGTAATCCTGCTGAACTCAGTAGGACTGTACAAGCATGTGCATTTTGCAGGATCACAGGCCTTTAGCGAGGATAAAAAGCATTTTTTTCTTTTCTGTGACTGCCATTTGAAAAATTCTGCCCCAATTCCACATCTGAATAATTTTTTTAGTAAAGGTTCTCTTCTGGAAAGAAAATCATACTTACCTGAAGCCTTTTCAAAAAATACTGTCATCAGAGTAATATAAAGGTTAATTTTCCTTTATCATTTTGTTATCCATTTTACCTGTCATTGCTTCCGTGGCCAGCACTGTGACATCCATGGAAGGAGCCTCTCTCACAATTAAATACATTACCGAGGAGGTAGGAGCCTGTTATTTGTTAATGGGGTTTCAAAATTACTCCTAACTAATCCAAACTATGAATGTGCACTGTTCATTCTCCTTGGCATGTTTTTTCATTCCTGGTAGTGTGGATACAGAGCGGTGTGTTATGTGCACACAACCTGGATACGTTTCCTGGAAATTAGTTTCCAAATTTATCATACTACTGAAAATATATTTTCAATAGAAAAAGTATAACAATATTAAACCATTTATTAAGCTGATGTATTTTTTATATGAAAAAGAGTTTGAGTAACCAGAAAGGAAAGAAAAAGGGATTCTTTGGGTGAGGATGCTTATCAAAAACACTATTAATCCAGGATTTTGTGGGTTTATACGGCTTTGGTTTTTTTGTTGCTGTTGTGGTACAGTATGACACTTGCATAGTAGATATCTTGATCAAATTTACATTTTCCCTATTTTGGAAACATTTTATTTGCTCTTGCTCTGATTCCAAGCCTACTCTTGTTTTGGTTGTTGTTGTTTTTTATCTATTTTTTCATTTAAAAACAAACAAAAACCTAATGGGTTATTTTTCAAATGTGAGCTTAATTCTGTGCAGGCCACAAATGTATATCTGAAATTAGAGTAACTTTCTTTGTTACAGAGGGTACTTTCTTCAGGTGAAAATTAGCTCTATTTAGTTATCCTGCATATTGCAGTGTACAATTAGAGTTTAAATTTAACAAATAAGCAAATATAGTAAACTGGTTTTGAGATTGTGGCCCACATTGCAGAGTGCTTCATGACTAAAAGTACTCATTGAAAGTTCACAAAATAAAGTGAACATGATATGCAAGCAAAAAAAAAAAAAAAGGCATTAAATTGTAGACATAAGGAAATAGTTCTGTTATTTACAAGTAATATCCATGTGTTGATTTTTTTCCCAGATCTGATTGTCATTAATCTAGAATAAAATCCATCCATCTGTACTGTTACCACTACTCATGTATCACTTAAGCCTCCAAAACATAGCTTAAGTAAGAGCCTTGACTGCTAAGCAAGACCAGGTTAGTGTTTCTTGGCCAATTACAACTCTCCGCCATGTGCCAACCACAGTGCTTCCAAAGTTGACTGAGAAGCAAGTTGGATGTCCATGCAGACAAGTGCTGCATGGACAAGTGGGACTGTCATCTAACATGGAAACCATATCAGTCATCCTTACTCAAGACATCCCCAACTTGTTAGTCAGAGTCCTGAGACCTACTGGGAGGAATTCTCACCTAATTTCAGAGGTCTGCATTTGAGCTAGTCACCCAAGGTTCCCTTTTAATCCCTTTTAATCAATGAAGATAAGTGGGCTGTATGTCATCTGACAAGTGTAAGTTTTTACTTCTTGGTTAGATGAATTGTGCTAAAGAAGCACATGTTTCTCTGCATTTAAAGAGATCAAAATGACTAGCTCATATCCAGGCATCTGTGTTTAATCAGATGAACCTCATGCATTGATTGTATCCAGTCCTTATGCTGAACCTGTGAAAAAGAGGGGATCTTGTCCATACTGCTGGTGCTAAAATTGAACGAGTAACAGCAGATAGTTTAGTATATTTTGCTCATGAGGTGTTTGCACCTTGGAATTACTGAGAAGCAATGGGACTCCATGAGGTGAAAGGAAGAGAATTGAGCTATGTAATTTAAATTTTTCTTAAACAAAAGTTACCCATTTTGTTTCCTATGAATGTAAATTCGGTGTCTCTTCAATAAAAGCTTAGACACATGCTATGTTTTAAGACATCAGCCAATGCTTTTCAGCATGAGGCAATCCTTTACTTGCAAACAGTGCACTCAACAATAAATTCAAATAAATTAGTTGCTCTGGAGAAAGCATTCTGTGTCTAAAATTGTATTAGGTATTAGCTGGATTATTCTGACATGGAAGTCATAAATTGTAGTACTTTGATTTTTTTGTAATTTAAGATTGATTATCCATTTTCCATTTTTTATATGATGAACCTAGTACTGGGCTCCATTAATTTCTTTTTTAATGCAGATTCATACAGGATCCAAAGGTGGGTCATAAGTAACGTACAGACATCCTTTATTCAGATGCAGTAGATTTATTATGTGGAATAGCTGGAACTGTGGAGGTACCTAGTAAAACTGTATTAACCACAACAATTTCCATCTTAGAATGACCCCATGGACCATATCAGCCACCAAGGTAAAGTAGCATAGAATATATTTTAACCTGTATTGAAGACCAGTTGCTGAATTTCAGCTGGCCCCATTGCAAGCTGAAGCACGTACTTAGCTGTTTTAACTCAGCTGATGGAATGGTTTTATGGGACATGTTCTGGCAGCTGAGAATTTCTCTTATGAATACAGGTTATCTGTAGCTAACCCGTCATGGGCTCAGTCTATCTTGGAAAATGTCCTGCAGAGAGAGGAAAGGAGGTCTCACTTCTAATCCAGTCCAATACATCTTTTAGAGTAACAAAAGTGAGTGTCATACTAAAACGTCTGTCTTCCATTGCATCTTCTAGGAAAAGTATTAAAAATAGAGATACTTCACTTATGGTATTTCCACATGGTTGAAGAGCACTGTATTCTGTGAAACAGTTTTCTTCCAGAATACCCTTGTTCACCAATTGTAATTGATCTTTCCTGAATAAATGTCAAATATAATGCTTTTTTTTCTTTTAATAATGATATTATTATTATTTTTTGAGAGTGAGGGAAAGATGTGTTGGGCTGGGCTAACACTTAGTAGGACAGTGACCTTGACATCTGGAGAGACAAATGAATCAGCACAGAAAAGGAAAAAAAATCCCTAAAGACTACAATAAGGTGAAAAAGGAAGAACTGTCTGCATTGTGCTAAGGAGCTCTAACAGAAAACAAAAGAGTAGCATAAGACGATTCCATGCACTTGCAGCTCACAAATACCTTCTACCATCATATACTGTATTTAGTAGCGCATACTGCTCATCCACGAGTGCTATGGTTGTATATAGTTCCTCAGATTATGGACCAGGACATGTTGAGCACATTATAGATATAAAATATTTGTCTATATGTACATAAAGAATTGTAAATATAATGTATATCATAATGTCTGAGATTTTTCAAACCTACAGAATTAATTACCTAGCTCCCAATAACGCTAATGGGGTTGCTCTACTCCATTGGCTTTTAAAATTTTTAACAGCATGCACTGTATGTGTATAGTACTTCCAAAACTTCTTTGGCTTGTTATCTGGAAATGGACAGCCTCCCTTTTCCTCCACAGGCAGCAAAAACGTTTTCAAACTGGTTTACAGAAAGCTGCCTGGTCACCTGACGCTGACCACCACACCAAACACCCTTTCTACTTATCCTTTTCTGTACAACTAATTACTGTAGAAATTGTCAGTGATCACAAAGGAGAAGTGAAGTGCCCATGAGCCAGCATCTCTGGTAAGATGTAGTCCATGCTATAAAAAGTTTGAGTCCTCTGCTGAAGTCAACAAAAGTGTTTAAACAGTATATAAATTATTTTCTTTTAAATTGCCATTTATAGACACTTATGAGGTTAAAATGAGAGAAAATTTCAAGGGAATATGAGTAAGGATATGCCATCATACAGTTTAAAAAGATGTGCTGAATTTTAGAAAGGAAAAACAGCAAAAATAGTTGATGAAAAAACATAGGGTTAGAATTAGAGCTAAAATATATTTCCATATTTTATATGTGAAATAATATAACACCGATTCAGTGAAATCTGTTTGTGTGTACATTTCTTTAAATATTCTACTTGAGTGTCTCTTACCTGTTTTTCCTGCAAGAGATTTCCCAAGTACATCTCTCTTCCAGAAAAGTTTAGCATATTATCTGATTTTTTAATACCTATGTAATTAAAGTGGAATAAAAAATGCCAAGTCATGATACTGAAGATACGGAAAAAAATATACTTAAAAGATCAGTCTTAAAATCATTTGAAGTTTTCATGATGTTCTGCTTTGTTCCTGTCCAAAATTCTGACCTATGTCAAAGCATCCGAGCAATCTGACTGGTAGGTAACATCACATGTGCCTCCGTAATAATGTATGTGCTGTGCAACGCTCAGAAACTCCTGAAACAGTTACAGCTACGTATTTGTGCAGCTTAATTCATATTAGAAGGCTGATTAGAAATGGGACTACTTACATGAGTAGAGTTAGGCATAAGGGACTTGCAAATCCAAGTCCCTATAAAGTATTTGTGAGGCAGCATGAGATAACATTATTTTGTAATTTTTTTTTAACTTCAATACCAGATATGGTTTCCTTGAGGAGTCCAGTATATTCATTGATACTATCACAAAATCTCCTGCACATATTGTTCTTGATATGTGAGGAAATACTGCTTTTTACTTCATTTGGGAAATACTACATATTTTGGGGAATATTAATCTCTAATGTGCAAATCAGCAAGCTGATTACAAATTTGTGAATAAACCATAATATTATAGTAATACTTCTCATTATTGACAATTCAGTGAAGAACTGCTAAGCAGCAGCATGTATGTTGAGCAGTAGATAAACCAAAACCCTGGGAGTGAAAATACACAGATCAAAGAGAAATCTAGCTCTGTATTATGAACTGTGTGATGCCTGGGGCCTAGACTGTATAGAAAGTAACCTTGAGTCTAGGATCTGGAAAACTGAATTTGGGGAAAATCTACATTGAAATCCCAAATACTCATTTCTGGTTGTGAATGATGAAAAAGGGCCCATTGAAACAATCTAGGGAGTATTTTTCTAGTATCATCACAGTGTAATGCTCTGAGGCTCCTCTACAGTGCTGAAAAAGGAAAAATCTATTTGCTGTTTTTTCAGGGTCCAGCCTATAACAAAAAAAATGGGTACAATTGTCACCATTTAGACTGGAACCTCCAGTAGGCACAATTCTGTAACTGAAAACTATTTGTTCCTCTTGTTGCATACTGACATTTTTGAGAGGAACCTGAATAAACAGCGAAGAGTAGAGCTATCCAGGTGAGAGTGGCTTACAAACTGAATTTTCAGTTTTCTCTCATTCGGACTGAGCTCTACCTGAGAATGATTAAGAGGCAAAAAGGAAAAACAAAACAGGATTACTTTTTTTAAGAAGCTGAATGCTCTGAGCTGTATTACTTACCATCACAGTCCCTTTATGTACAATAGGGTTAGCTGAAAAATACAAAGTGCAACCAATGTTTCAGATCTGTAGATTATTTTAGTTACTAAATGCCAAATTCACAAGTTCCATTTTTGTGTTGGAAAGGTTCTGCTCTAAAACAGCTGGTATTTCCAAATCCTGCTGAAAGACTGTAATAATTCTCTTGATAGAGTAATTTCTGGGACAAGGATGTAACTGTGATGATGTAAATGTTTCACTGTCAATAGGCACGGTCTTGCTATGACCAGAGTTCATGAGAGTTTGTTACTAACTTCTGTGGCAGTGGGGTGAAGCCCTACGTTATACATACTGTATGTAGAATTCAGCTCTCCAAACAGATTCTCCTGCACCCCACTACTGTCATGATTGATTTGTCATTAGAGAACAGCACTTACTAGGACACATGCTGTCCTACCGTTGAAATGTATCCCTAAAACTTTTTGCTGGTTTTCTTTGCTGAGAGTTTCAGCTTGAGATGTAGGTTAGTTCTTCAGGGCATGATCCAAAGTCAGCCAAATCCATAAGGAAATGTCAATAGGCTAAAACAGATTTTGGATCAAAGGTTTCTGTAGATTTGCATGGAACGGATGGCCTCATTTAATAGGGGACAAGGGAGTGCACTGAGCGTAAAAGACAATGCTACTACCTCAGGGATGTGATGAAATAGATTATGGCTACCTTCAACATGGCAGAGCGGAACTGCAAGGTACAAAAGGTGGTTGCTGAACAGCTGTTTTATCTGGAATGGTATACCATTCTCTGAGTTTGGAATAAGCATTTAAAATTACCTATGCATATAATAGATTATATAACAGAAATGCTTTAGTTGTTCTGTTTTTTTTTTCCCCTAGAAAACTCCCCAAACTCCTGGATTTACATTCAGGATAAAACAACCATCCCCATCAAACAAGCAGATCCTTAAAAAAAAAATAAATAGGATTTATCTATCTTTCTTCTTTCTTAAGCATATACCATTATGCAATACGATCTCCCCTTCATAATAGAAGTTCTAGCTGATCATTTGCCTCTTTGAACAAGTTGTTTCATACTCCTAGTGTGTTGCAGTGTAAGTTTTGAGATTTGTCAGTTAATGAAAGGCACAGTAGCAAACAAAATAACTAAGACCCTCCTAGTGGTTCTGTTTACTAGACTCTTCTGTTAATTCCCTATGTCAAGAAAACCATCCTGCTTTAAAATTCCTAACATGTAAATGCATACACGTTTTAAAGCTTATGGCCCCGATTCACTATCCGCCTCTCCCCTAGAAACAGCTTTGAATTGGCAGTGTAGCATTTTTAATAGCATTTCTTTTTCAGCAGTTTCTTCTCCCAACTTTTCTACATAGGGTAGCGAGGGTTATTTCAGATTAAAAGTGGGAAAAGTTGTTTCTTGGTTAACTCTGGTGAAGGAACTGGATTCAGTCAGTGCTTCAGTATATGTTGCTCATACCTACAGCCTTGCATCTGCTTCTGTTGAGGCCAACGTCAAAATTCTCTGATGGTATCAGTTACACCATGCACGGTGATGCTGTGACTGAAAACCCAGAGACTAACAAAAAGGGCTTGTTCTTATTTGGTGCAGCATAACTCCTATTGACTTTGGTAACAACAACAGGTACTCAACGCTTCTCAGGATTGCATCTGCAGTTTAACAAGGAAAAAAATCTTAAAAAGATCATGTGAAACCCTATTTACTGAAAGGCAATAGTTTAGTTTCTAGCAAAGCAACCATCATTGATCAAGTTGGAATTAATTGTTTTAATTTTTTCTCAGTTTTTTTAAAAAACAAATCACTTTGACTTACAGAAAAAAAATACAAGAAAAATATTTGACTACCTTCCAAAAATTAGCTTTGATTCACGCTTGGAAGATAACGTGGTTGGTATGTTTTCTCAGGATAGCCTCTATCTATTTCTGTGTGTTGGTTTTAAACGTATCTGAATTAAAAGGGGGTTTAATCTCTGTCTCTTCTGTGAAATTAGATTGTACACGACTAAGTATGACTGCTCTTCATAGTTTCCTGTTCTAGCATAGCCATAAAATGTATCAATGTATGTGTATATATGAATAACTGATGACAGACACTTTAGATTATATATTTAAGCAGCCATGTCAAAACTTTAAAGGTAGATGGCTTCAAAACTAATGGTATAATCATAATATTTGCTAACTATTTTACAAACAAACCGTGGCCTCAGCACAGATCTCATATCCTTATCAGTAGTCTGAAACCCACCTTTTCTTTAAAGACCCCAGATGACATTTGTTTCGCTGTTGCTTCTTTTCCTCTTACCAAGATGTATTTGAATAATGACAACTACCCGTGACTCAGTCTTCACCATTCATCTCACAGAGAAGCGGGCTCGGTACTGTACCTCTTGAGTTGTATCCTCATCGGTCTGAACTTGTGTAGCGTTGCACACAGCGAGCACCATCTGCTCGTTCTGAGAGACTGAACGTTTCACAGCTGGTACCGTTGGTTTCCCCCTGGGAATGCCTCACTGCTCAGAATGACTTTTCTTCACGCAATATATCTCCCATACATGTTTCCCCCTGGGACTGCCTCACTGCTCAGAATGACTTTCCTTCACATAATATAGCTCCCATACATGTTCCCACCGCATTTTGCCTTTCTGCCTTTTCGCCAGTTTATAACGGTATTGTAGGAATAGCCATGAAATAAAAAGCTTACTATACTGATTTGCAGTCCCAAGGGGAATTTACATTAGAAGTGAAGTTGTTATTATTTACTGAAAAGTGGTGTTATCTTTTTTTATTATTATTGTTATTCTATTCCTATGATAATATGATGTTCCATGTAAATTTTCATGTGCTGGCATGCCTACAAATTAATAGTGTAATAGAATGCTCAGCTCTCAACATTAGGGTGTTTTTAAGGTGAATTGCATTACATATGCCATCTCTTTGCAGAAAGAATATGGGGTTTGGCAAAGCTACCTGCTGAGCAACATAATAAGATTTTTGTACAAAGTACAAGTTACTGATTATTATTGTATTTTATTTTTCTATGATTTCCTAAGAGGCATTATCAGGTCTTACAGATGGGGTAAGCCTGTTTATTAAGATATTTATTAGCAAATAAAAGTTACAGTACTGGTGGTTATTTTTGAGTTAATGGTGTTTGTTTTGCCTTAAGTTACTAATATAATGATACACAGTGAAGCCTGTCATACATGATCATGCAAAACCCCAGCTGCTTAACACAGGGTGGTGTACTAATAAAGATGGACCGGCAATATGTTCTAACACTTGAGATGCTTCAAGGTGGTGGTGTTTTTTTTTTTCAGCAAAAGAACGCTTAATTATAGTGGACTCTTCTGTGCTTTCCACTGGGCATTTATGGTCTGATAAATGCCTTGTCAAAATGCACGTCAGTTAACAACAGTAGGGAAAAAAAAACTATACACATTAAAAGTTCCAAACAACAGCACTCTCTCCTTCTTGAGAGACAATGGGAACCTGAATTTTAAACAGATTTTGATGTGCTATTAAGTTTCTGCAGTACTGTTTGCCCTCCTTACGGCGGTTCACTGAGCCCTGCAACTCCTTTCATGCAAGTCCTTTTCCAGTGTTTTTCAAAACTCTCACTGACAAATGCAGTTTTAAAACTGATCGCATTATGTAAATAATGCTAGGGCAGTACACAGTGATTCACAAAGAAGTGAATGCCACATACCATAATCAGACCCTACCTCCAAAAAGTTTTAAATTATAATTAGCATTTCAATTCGTAACATCATATGCATGCAATACAAAACTGAATAGAATCTTGTGTAGACTAATAGGAAATGAATGTCAGATGTCCACAGTCTATTGCTTCCTGCATATCTTACACGGGAAGAGCTTTCTCACGAAGGGCTGTCAGGTTGTCTATAATGGAGAATGACTATTACATTTTAGATCTTGATACAGAAATGCCTTTGCCATTACTCGTTCTTCATTGAGTTTAGAACTAGTTCTTAGATACAGACTGATTACAGTATAAAAAGTAGGAGATGGCACCCTCCTCTAACACACATTTACCCCACAACCTGATTAGCATTTAGAAAGTGCTTCAACCCAGAATTTCACTGTGAGATTTATGCTACTAGACTTTCCTTTAACAGCTCATAATGTCACTATGAAGGAATCTAATCTTTTAATCAGAACTTTTCTGGGTATAGGGAAATCATGAAATCATGACTGCAATTTACCTCAAACCTTTAATAATAATAAAAGCATCAATGAGAATTAGCAAAGCCAAGCAACAGACAAAATGTTTGTTGTATTTTTAATCTTTGAAGTTTAATGTGAAGGTCATTATAACTGGGAGCTTCTGGCTTGGGTTTTTAGTAAAAAGAACTGTCCACATCACTATCAAACAACTATTTCTGCTGCTCTCACTCCTCTCCAGAAGGCAGAAGGCGAGTAGTAGACTGAAACTGGTGTTCAGTATAGGTGACACTAGATTAGGGTTTTTCATAAGAGGGGTATAACTCTGTGAAGAAAAATTGCTTTCTTCAGACCAAGGAGCACTATAGTCTTAATTTTGGGAAGCAGAGGAAGAACTCATGCGAGGAGAGCGTAAGTGAGGTTGGCTTGCACTGCCAGTCTGTGAGGGATGCAGATGGGACAGTGTGCTTAGGTCTTCCCTGCCTCAGCTTCTGCTTCTCCATGTAAGGTCTCATTAGGGCTACAAAGATGATTAGGGGCCGGGAGCATCTCTTTTACGAGGAGAGGCTGAGAGACTTGGGTCTTTTTATTCTAGAGAAGACTGAGGGAGGAATCTGATCAATGCTTATAAATACTTAAAGGAAGTGTGTCAAGAGGATGGGGCCGGTCTTTTTTCAGTGGTGCCTGGTGACAGGACAAGAGGAAATGGGCACAAACTTGAACATAAGAAGTTCCACCTAAACATGAGGAGGAACTTCTTTACTGTGAGAGTGGCAGAGCACTGGAACAGGCTGCCCAGGGGGGTCTTGGAGTCTCTGTCTCTGCAGACAGTCAAAACCCACCTGGACACGTTCCTGTGCAACCTGCTCTGGGTGGACCTGCTTTGGCAGGGGGTTTGGACTAGATGATCTCCAGAGCTCCCTTCCAACCCCATATCATTCTGTGATTCTGTGATTCGGGTCTGCAGTGTAGGGTGTCAGGCTGAACACAGAGAGGGTGATACAAACCATCCCCTACATCCTATGAATACCTCCACAGGCGCGACTGAGGGAGGAAAACTCACATTACTGTTCCAGCTAAGCTCCTGCCTGGAGCTCATTTTAAGTGATTTACGCAATTTCAAGTTTGTGCAGCAGGCCCAGAGCCCATCCGACTGGGCTATGCTACATGGCAAAAAATGACTTAAGTGTATTTCTATACGCTGTGTCTAGCCTGAACAAGCTGCCTCCTTCCCAAACCCCGGCTGTTGTAACTACCTAAACGCCAGGCAGGTTTAAGACTGTCCCCGAACACCCTGCCAGCTCCTGCCCGGGAACAGGCCTTGCTGCGAACGCCTTTGGTGGTGTTTCTTATTGGGCTTTTCCGCCACGCCAGGCCGCCACCATCCCAACCCCCGCCTCAACCCGGCCGGCGGCCGTTGGGCCGCCTCGGGGGCGTGGCCTCTGGGCAGGCACCGCCCCCAATCACCGGAAAGGGCGGTCGGGGGCGGAGCGCCGGTTTCCTCGGCAACGGCGCAGGCGGCTGGCGGCGGCGGCGGGGCGCGGCCGGCATCGCGGGGGCTGAGGAGGTGGGTGCTGCGGCCGGGGGCGGCGGGGAGCGGGCGGCGGCCGGTACCAGCCTCCCGTGGGGGATCCCTGTCCCTCCGTCCCGCCCTGAGCGAGGGGGACTCCTGACCTCCGCCTCTTGCCGCGGCCCTGGCCCGGGCGGCTGGGGACGGGAGGGCCGGCTGCGAGGGATGCTGCTGAGGGGGGCTCGGCGGCGGGAAGGGAAGCCTCGTTCTCCCGGCAGCGGTGAGCAGCCTGGCCGGGGCCCCAGGCGCTGGTGGGGACGTGCTTGGCTCTGGCTCCTCACCCGCTCGCCCCGAGTGCAGTGGGAGCCGGGGGTCCTGCAAGAAACTAAAGGAACTGAAGTTTTAAATGATGCTAACCTGAAAGGGCCTCACTGAATTTCACTGAATTTTTTAGAGTTGGAAGGGACCATAGAGATCATCTAGTCCAACTCCCCTGCTGAAGCAGGATTGCCTAGAGCATGTTAGAGCACATCACTAAGGACTACATCCAGGCGGGTCTTGAAAATCTCCAGAGAAGGGGACTCCACAACCGCCCTGGGCAGCCTGTTCCAGGGCTCTGTCACCCTCACCGTGAAGCCTCCTGAGTGGTTTGGGCAGCCTTGGTGTCTTAGCGTTTACATTTGGGTAATCCATGCAAATTAAGTGGGCTTTTGGTGTCGTTTAGTTTGGAAGGGACCTCCGCAGGCCATCTGCCCTGACCACCTTCTCAAAATCTTGAAACCACGGTGTGTATAGCACTCCAGGGATTGTCACTGTCAGCTCAGCGTGCTGATAATTTGGAGTAGGGGGTTGAGATGTCTTGCCGAAGCAGCCACCGGAGAGAGGTGGCTGTCCCTCTCTGGGGAGCATCTCAGAGCTGTGGAGCTCACCTGGCTCTGCTCCCTAACAGCACGCCACTGCTGCTCGAAATGCTTTACATGGCTGGTTTATCCTCAGGAGCTTTGCAGTCACAACAAGTGACAAAAGTTAATCACTGGTGTCTCAGACAGGCTTACAGTTCTTGATAAAGGTTTGTGGAGTTTGGTAACAAGCTGCTGGACCACGCTCTATCCTAAATAGTTTTAGGACGTGTCTAATGTATGCTATATAGTGTTGTAGGCTAAATGCCAGCTGGCGAAAAAGAGAAACCCATGCCAGGTGTAGTAGCTGCTGTAACTCTTCACAGCTGAGGAAAATAGTGGGAGAAAAGCGGCAGGGCAAGAGGTCAAGGGTATGTTTTTCCCCACTGTATTCTTAAATGATGGCTTTGCCAAATGTTATGAAAAACTCCTAGGAAAAATGGCTATAATAAAAATGTTGCTAGTAACTGTTGTCAAAGAATGTCTATTTAGGCTTTTGGGTTTAAAAGTGAAGTCCTAGAAGTATCTCTTAAGTGCTTAAATTTTCTTTTCCATTTTAAGAGACCTGCAAGGTATTTTTTGGACCTTAGCATCTAGAATATACAGATAAGACTCATGATTGGACTAGAAAGTAATGTGTTTTGGAACAGGGTTTTGTCACATTAATTTAATAATAAACAATAAGCTTTAATCTGCTTTCAGAGTTGTATGTATATTGAAAAAGGAGTGGGACGTGAAACAAAGGGATTTAGAAGAAAAAACGTAACTTTTTTTCTTTGAGAGAATTGCTGTAACTGATGTTGGGCTTGTTTAATCTGGTGGCATCTGTGTGTAGCTGTTACACACAGAGCCTCTCTGTAGATAACTACTAGTCTTGAATCAAAATGCAATAGATAAAGCTTTAAAAACGATCTGTATTTAAAAAGTAAAGATTGTACTCTAAACAAAGGGGATGGCTTACCATGACTTTGTTAAATTCAAAGATTTAAAAATTATTATATTAAAATGCATTTCATGATTTTGTAATCAGTGAAGAAGTGAGACCGAATACTTGTCATTGATGATGTTTTTTCCTCTTCCTCCTCCTGCCATGATTTTCTGGGGTAATTCAGATCGCGATCTGAGTTGTCCAGTGCTGTGTAGTTTTTCTTTATTAAGAGGAAAAGCAGCCTTCACCACTCCAAAAAACTCCTCTGGCATTTATTAAATATTTTATGATTAAATGTGTCTGCTGAAATTATTCTTAGTGGAATTCATTCAGGATAGGCAAGGATTATTATCTTTACAAAGTACGTTCAGCTAGGTACCGCAGAGGAACGCATGATTTAAGCTCCTTTGCATGTGCTACTGCTGGGTAACTCCAATCAGTGGGCAGGAGCAGGAATTTGGCATCTACCTGAGGTCTGGGTGAATGTTACAGTGTCTGGCTTCATGTCTGTTGGATCTATTATAATCAGTTTCTATTTGTAGTGAACGAGTTCCTAATTTATACATGTTAATATTGACAAAGCCTGTTTTCCTAATTTATACATGTTAATATTGACAAATTAGAGTTTTTGACAATTAGAGTTTCAATTGAATTGACAGAGGGTACTTTATTTACTTCAGGGTTCACTAAATTACATAGCAGGTGCTGAAGGAGGGGAATATTGTTTTGCTTTGTTGTCTAAATTATGACAGCTGATGGGACTACTGAAAATTTTAAGTGAAATGTAATGGCCTTCCTTTTTTTTCAGTTTGGTGGAAGGAAAGGAGGCATTGCAGTTGTGCTTCTATTTGGACTGCTCAGAATTATGGCAATATTACTCCCCAGTGAATCAGGGACATTGCGTTATATAGAGAGGGCTATAAACAGCCAATCTGCTTTTGTATCAAGGCTTCTTCGCTATAATCAGCTTACACTCCCTTTGCTTAGTGTACCACGCAAACCTGCTGTGACACTGTTTGTGTAGTGTCTTATTCACGCTGTCCTTTTAAAAGTTTAAAGACTGCTTAGCTACATGCCCACCTACTGTGCTAGCACTGCTGTACATGTAACCATTTTCCAACAGCTATTTCCTTCCCTGGTTTTCTGAGCAACAGGTGACCCCTGTGTATTTGAGCCAGAATTATGGGATTGTTTGACAAGCTGGCGGGATGGCTCGGGCTGAAGAAAAAGGAGGTTCACGTTTTGTGCCTTGGCTTGGACAATAGCGGCAAAACAACGATCATAAATAAACTTAAACCTTCAAATGTAAGTAGCCTACTTAGTTCACTGTTGATGTTTTTACTGCAGAGTTGATGTTTGTTTGAACTGGTTTTGCATGCTGTTATATGAAATGTGACCATGGAAAAGACGTGAAAAGCTTTTTGATTAAGTACAGTGGAACAACTATATTTTAAGAGTTTCCAACTAAATAAAATTAAAGCATCCACAGGCATATTATGAAAACATTTCCCAAAAGACCACTATTATTCTGCCTCATCTGTTCTAAGATCACCCAATATGGAAGGGTTTGTGATGGCTGCAATCAGGATCTGAAACAGTTTTCTTAAGTCACTTAAATAATTGCTACAGACTTGCAATTACGAGTGATGTGTCCAACAGTTGGGATTAATACAGTTGTATAACAACTTGTCTACATTTATCATGACTATTTCAATCTCTTCCTGAGAAGTAAGTATATAAGAAAGTAGGAAATACTGAGAAGATGCACACTTGATGGTGATGTCAGTATTTTTAAAGCAGACCAGCTTTCAAAATAAGTAGCGTTTATACTTGTTTATACATTTAACCAGTGAAAACTGTTTTTCAGGCCACTGAGAGTGCTTCGTATTCTAAGCAAAATTTAGAGTAGGATTGCCTTGTTTCTACGTGTGTTTATGGAATGAAAATAGATGAATTTTCATAGACATGTTCAAAGCCAGAGGCTTGTGCATCTAGGTTCTATGCATCTGGGAAATTGTGATGTCTGCTGTTTACATCAGGACACAGCTTTTGGTTTTAAACTTCCATTGAACTTTTCCTGAAAAGTCCCACTGGGCACTGTTTAAAAATATATAACATGGTAAAGAGTCTGCTAGTCTTCCTAGCAATATAAACTTCTTACTGTCAGCTGTCAATCATTTGGGGTAAATGCTACAATTTGTATCAGGCAAATTATATATTTATGTAATTTTTGAGACCTTCATTGTAGCAGAGCTTTTATGTTATGCCTTAAGCAGTAAAGGATTCCCAACTAGAGTTGAACACAGACTTCAAGATTTATCACAGTAATAGATATTAGAGAAGGTCCTAAGGGAATTACACAAACAGAATTTGTTTGTTTTACTGTAAATTGTGTAATGAGAATTTACTTCTGAATGGTTTTATTTTATGTGATGCTTTAGGAGGGTAGCTTTGCATACAACTTGTGTAAGTCCTGTCCTTGCAAGATATGACAAATTCTCTAATGTGCAACAAATGTCATTAGATCAAACTTGATGAAATGGTTTATTTTTAGTAAGTTCAATGGAGAGATGATTTTGAGCTCTGGATCAACCCAGCTTTCTGCTGGGTTGAACTACTACTTTGCCCTACGAGCAATATATTAGTTGTCTGGCAAATACAAGTGTTTCTCCATCTGCTTGTGGTTGTTTCTTCTGGGCCTGATAAATACATTTTAAATAAACGTTGAAGAAATAACTCCTCTTCTACTTTGCACAGATTTTCCCTTGTTGACAGGAACTGTTTATGATGGTTCAATGCTATTTCCGTAATGAAGCTGCAGGTGAACAAGCTAAGCTTGCTTCAGTTGTATGTGAGGAGTCAACTGCTTATAGATAGTGTTTTTCATGAGAGGCCCTAGAAAGTCTGTAAAAGGATTGCATGTCACTTTCTCAGACAGCTCTGTAGTCTAAAGAATGTGACCTTTCTCCCTGCTCAGTATCAATGCTTCTTAAAGGAGCTATTCTGTTGTACCAACTTAGTTGGTAGATTCCTTAGCTAGCTCAGCAGTAAATCTGGTTATCAGACAGATCTATTAATAATGCTTATGTTTTGGCTATTCCTCTATGGTAAATGGTGATTTCTTCCAGTGGGCTGGTAGTTTGAACAGAAATGTGGTTAGGCCATTGCATGATGTCTGCTGTGTGCTTCCCGCTATCAAGTAGACTCCTCCAGTGTGTTGACGGAAGTTGGGAGTATGGCCAATCTAATATCTTGATAGACGTAAACGCTCTTTTATCTAAGAGGCTTGGGGTGTTGTGCAGACTTGGGTTGACATTGTGATTTGCAAAGTGCACCAACGCTGTGAACTTTGACCTCAGTCATCATCTTCAAGCTGTTATCTTCCATGTGAACCTATTTCCTATTTATTTCATAGGTAATATCCACACGTGTGAACACACAGACTAATGTAAGGGTGTGAAATCTCACTCTTAAGGCTAAAATGTCTTCAACTTCAGTGCTCTTGTCCAGTAGCGTTCACTGTATTTCCTAGAAAATACAAAACCCTGATTTTGAATTACTGTACTTTTCTGGGAACTTTTTAATTAAAAAAAATTTAAATTTTGTTTTATATTAAATTTTATTTTTCTATTAAATTTTATTTTAAAAGTATCTGGAGTTGTAGAAAGTTTTTGTATTGCACAGTTTGGGGAAAATAGTTCTGTAATGTATTCATGTTTCCATTGTATTTATTTATGTTTTCTAACTTGGTTTTAAAATTTGTACTTTCTTTCCTTTAAAGGCTCAAACTCAGGACATCGTTCCAACGATAGGGTTCAGTATAGAGAAATTCAAGACATCAAGGTAGTAGTTTTTCATTTTCTCCATTTAGCATTCGTAATTAATATACAATAGTTGGACTTAATTGCCTCTTTCAGTGAATGTAACCGAGTATAATGTGTGGTGTTATCGTGACATGATATCTGGGTTCCTGAAATATTGTTGTACCCAGGAGTCCTAATTGTGATCCAAGACTGACAATATTAGAATATGTTGTATATTTTGTGCTGCTATAAAACTATGTGTGTACCTAAGTAAGAAGAAACAAAAAGTATGTAAGCATCCAATTTCTATCTGTTAAGAATTTAAGAATTTCAGAATAGGGTGCTGTTAAGACTTGAGGAGAGACAGCTGCTTAGATGGTAACCTATATTCCATTAAGCACTCTCACTGGAGGGACTCTGCAGAGATTGCAGTCTAATCTCATTAAATGAAAAATGATGGCTACAGCATTAGCAATGGTAAAGATGGCAGAGGCAAAGGTGAGGAAAGGAGGAAGAAATCATTGGTTAAATGAAAGCTAAGATTTAGAGAAGGAGTGTCATGAGACTAAGATATTTCAAGCGGGTAACATTAAATACTATTTTATTCTGCAGTGTTCATAGTAAGTTTTTAATGGGTGCAGTCAGTCTTCAAACCAAGCAGCATGCTGCTTGGATGAGAGATCTGCAAGAAAATTGTTTATTCCTTGAGCTGATGTGTGGGATTGATATGTTTCGTATTTTTATAGGAGGCTCAACAACTGTATTCTGTCTCTGTGAGCTACATAAGACAGATTTGGGGTTTGGCTGTGTGAGAATGTAAATGAATTTATATTGCTTTCCTTTATTCTGATCCTGTAGTAGGAGAGATGACCTGTGAATACACCATGTAGAATGATTAAAAAAAAAAACAACCTCAAAACAAGCCCACAACCTATCCCCAAACCTTATTAATCTAATATTACAATCAACACAGTTTTGGGGTTGCTAATAACTTCATACATGGCAGAGCAGCTAGTCTAGAATCCAATGGCGTCTGGATATAGAGTGGAAAGGATAGCTTTCTTTGGAGAGCTTTCTTTTTCTAAACGTCCTCATTTTGGTGTGGCCTCTACTCGAGGAGTTATTTGGAACTACCCAAAACAGGAAAGCCTAATACTGAATTCAATGTTGCCTCTGTAGACATTTTAGGAGTGGATCAGAATTTTTTGTTATGTTAAGTTAACTTGCTGTGTTTAGCGTTCATGTTCTCAAAGCTGCAAAGACTGCCCTTTGTAACTTGGTCACCTGAAGTAACCTGTTATTACAAGAATGTGATGATTTTTTTTTTCCCTGAAGGTGGGATTATTTAAAAAAAAATAATTTTTTTTTTTTGTTGTGCATACAGAAGCCTTTGGATTCTATTGGTACCTGTCTAGGGACAGAATTTGAGAGGCTGTGGATTTTAAGTCATGGCTCATGTAAATTTCATTTACTCAAGATTATAAACAATATTTGATACTAATGTGGTAAAAGAGAGGCAGAATGGAAGGTTATTTTGTATTTGATGTAACTTTTTATAATTGGTTTTGTTGTTTTATTGGGAGAATAAACAAACATGTATTCCATTGTGAAATATCTCTATAATAAGATCGCAAAGCTGCGTAGGATAGTTTGAAGGCAGATACAGTAACCAGTGTTCCTTTGGGAGTCTTTCTCAGTTGATTAGGATTCAAGTTGATCTGTCTTTTTTTTTTCTGTCAGGGTAGCAAAGAAAATGGTCTGCGTTTGAGTTTTTCCTTTGTTTCTGTGCCTCATGCACTTCTTTTCTTTGCAGTTTGTCTTTCACAGTGTTTGATATGTCAGGTCAAGGGAGATACAGAAACCTTTGGGAACACTACTACAAGTAAGACTATCATTTATTTTAAAGCATTTCTGTTCATATTAGATGTCATGTATGTTATTTAAACAGAGGTTTGACAATATCTAGTGGTTAGAAATGATTCCGAGAAGACTTAAACCTGGTGTTTGACCAGAAGTCATTTTGGATAAATACTACTTTTGTTTCTGTTCTAAAAAATGAAAATTTTTATATGCTGCTAATCAGCATGCTTTTGGGGACATTTTGTTGCCTCAAAGATCAGGGGAGCATATCCTATCTCTAGATGGGATTTAAATGTTGAAACCAGGAAAAACAATCCTGTAAGGAAGGACCGAGATAAGTTAGGATTTCTATTTTTTCCTGTTCTTCTGTACATAAGTGACCTAAGACCCAAAATATCATAGAATCATGGGATGGTTAGAGTTGGAAGGGACCTCAAAGATCATCTAGTTCCAACCCCCCTGCCATGGGCAGGGACACCTCCCACCAGACCAGGTTGCTCAAAGCCCCATCCAGCCTGGCCTTAAACACTTCCAGGGATGGGGCATCCACAACTTCCCTGGGCAACCTGTTCCAGAGTCTCACCACCCTCACAGGAAAGAATTTCTTCCTAATATCTAATCTAAATCTCCTCTCTTCCAATTTAAAACCATTACCCCTTGTCCTGTCACTACACTTCCTGACAAAGAGTCCCTCTCCGGCTCTCCTGTAGGCTCCCTTCAGATATCGATAGGCTGCTATGAGGTCTCCCCGGAGCCTTCTCTTCTCCAGGCTGAGATACTGGCTGATGGCTGAGATTTTTAGAGGCCAGGGAAATTAACCTTAGAGAATGGGGCAGATGTAACTAAGAACTTGACCAAGTTATTAGATTTTGTTTAAGTGGGATATTTGCAGTACTCGATAATGTTATGGTATTGCCTTACTGGTAATAGACACCATTTTCTGTTTTTCTAGCTTCTAAAGAAACTTAGAAGCATTAAAAGCAGTAACCCATCCCTTGTGTGGCATAAACTGCTTTTTTCATCTTAACAGTAAGGGAGTTTGTTGGGAAATGCTCACAGTGGACTGTGCACTTGTATCCACCTTTGTTCCTGATCCAGTGCAGTAGTCACTTATTTAAGATTAACTTCTGAGAATAATGTAAAAATAATAATGTGCTGTTCAGCTTATAAAGTTAAGTAAAACTTAATTTTGCAAGAATTGCAAAATGGCAATCCGATCTGATCAAGTATCTGTATCTAAGTATTTATATTGGAGTACTTGAAGCTTGCCTTTTTCTTCTATTTGGCTTGAAACTATCTTCTAGGATGTTCTCAAAGTACAAATATAAAGTCTTAAATATATGCAAACTCATGTTGTATCCCTACTAGTGTTACTTGTTTGTGAAGTTATTTTTTTTGGTAGTAAATCCATGCCAGGACTCTGATTCCTCTAGAAAAATACTGTATGCTATAAAAATTTCTTAAGCGTTCTCAGCTAATATGAAAAAGTTATTTTCTGTTAAAGTTCTTCTGTGCTTCAGGAAATAATGAAATTTCTCATACAATCCTAGGCTGGTCAAGTTATTTCTGTTTTTCAGTAGGTCTAGGACTGCTTCTTATCAAAATACAAAGGTAGATGATGCTGGGGGGTGAAGAATCTGTAATGGTGTCTCAGACAAATATAAAATGGAGAAGTGAATATTACATTAAAATGTAAATTAAAAATACTTTTTGTGGGTGTTTATAACTGTTTATCTGAATTGGTCAGACCTTATTCTCGTTTCAAGTAAGTTTCAGTAAATGGAGCATCAAGTCATAAAATATCAGTAATATTCTGAAATAATGAATTGAATAGCATGTATATATGTTGTGACTGTGGTCATATTGCCAGCAAAAAGTCTTAATGACTTGAAATAGTTGTAGGTTTTTACCTGTTATTCAAAACAAAAGAAAGAGCCTGTTTGTGCAGACTTTTGTAAAAGTTAAATTAATCTGCATATGTCTAGTTGTTAAATAGCTGTCGACACAGTTTCTTCTGAAAAGGTGATTGACCTTTCTTTAAATGAACTTGGTTTAGTGTAGGGAATAAAGCATTTCTACAAAAATCTGTCTTGAGATTTTCTTTCTTTGACCACACTGTCAGAATAGCAGTTGGTTACATTTAAGAGTTCAATTTTTAGCCTCAGTAGTGAAATGAAGCTTTTCTGAAGGGACTCTGTAAACTGAACGTTGTATAAGTAACACAGCTAACAACCTCATGTCTCAAAAAATTATGCAAGTTACTAAATGGTTGAATTTCAGAAATAACAACAATAAAAATGAGAGGGAAAAATAAATCAGGTTTCATTGCCTTTTTTGGATGTTTCTTCTGAAGCCTTTTCTTACAGTTTAAGAGAACCTATAATTTGTCTCTCTTTCTCTTTTTATGTTATGCAGAGAAGGCCAAGCCATTATTTTTGTCATTGATAGCAGTGACAAATTAAGAATGGTTGTGGCCAAAGAAGAACTTGACACCCTTCTGAATCATCCAGGTGAGGAGCCTTTTTTCCCCTTCTGTCTCCATATTTGTTATATTGTCTTAAGAAAAGCCCTTACCCGACACATTCTGCATTCTGAATACTTTACAATTATTTACCCATTCATGAATACTAGAACAATAACAATATTCAGCAAGTTTGATGTTTTTTATACCTATTAGCATGTACAAACTGATCATACTTCAGTTGGCTACGCTGAGTTGAATTGGTCTTTTATTAATCAATATAGATCAAAAGTTGTGTTGTTTTGAGGAAGACTAGACTTTCACCCTTTAGAAGCTGGAGAGCCTGTATGTGATGACAAATACATACAAGAAAGCATCTCCCTGTCTGGATTTTTCCATGAAGACAGATAATTTCTTTAATGTGACTTAAATTTTTTTTTAATCTCCTTTTTTTTTTTTTTAAATTATGCTTTAACTAGAAATAAGGATGGATAATTATATCAGTCAGTTTCAATTTCCTATAAAAGGATACATGGGATGGAAGAGGATATGAGAGGATTCATGATTGGGGGTTGGTTTTAGGGGTTTTGGTTGGTTGGTTTGGTTTTTTTGTTTGAAACTATACTTTTTAAATTATGTCCTGAGATCGGTCAGTTCTTTGCTGCTGAGCATATAACAAACATTACTGGAATGTTTCTGTAAGCAATATACAATTTTGACTTTCAGCACTTTACATTACTGTTCTGACTAACCAGATTATAAAGCCACATAGAGAAAATTTAGAAGTGAAATAATCCTGTAATTTCTTATTTGATGGTAGAGCCTTAACTTGTGAGGTTACCATGCTGAAAGTAAGAAAGGAGAAGCTGGCTTGCATTTCTAACCAAGAAAAATAGTATGTGGTAGGGCCAACTATGTTACTGTGATTTTATTTTCCATGAAGACTGCATATAAATCATGTAGTTGAGTGTGTGGGAGCTGACTGGGCCCCTTAATTTTGTGTTTAAGGGTTTTGTGTTTGAAGTGGGCCACTTCAAATGCCAACGCTGAAAAGACAGTCTTGCAAAGGTCAAAGGGGAGGATGAGGTGAACCAGAGGCTGCAGGTGGATTACACAGAGGCCAGGGAGCTTTGCATTAAAGCAGATATTAACCACAGTGGTAAAAGGTGATCCTGTTTGTAGAATGGAAAACGCATAGGACCAAGGGTGGGGGGGTAAAGACTGCTGTAATAAGTTACTGGTTTATTACAATGCAAAAGTGAAAATATTAAGACTGAGAACATGCAAGCTTAGGTGAGGCTTTTCATTTAGGTTTTAATAGATTATTAATGCTGATCTAGCAGGTCGGCACTTTTCAGCTGTTGATGTGTTTGTGTCTTCTAGTTCTGAAAGACCCTGGCTATGGCCACCTAGTACATTCCCTAGAACCAGAAAAGGGTGGTTTTGTACTTCTGCCTTGAAGCAGCGCTGCTCAAATGCAGCAACAGTGTTTCTGGCTTACGTTTTGGATTTTGATAGGTCACATCTAAGAGAACCAAAGACAATAAAAAGTTCTTCAAGTAGTGAAGTTTTGTTAACTGAAGTGTGTGTAGTGAAGTAGTTGTTAACTGAATCAATCTATAATTGTTTTCCTATATCAATATTTTTATTTGTATTACTGTTCTGCTTTTCTTCCTGCATACCTTGCTTTCTCCCCATCTATGGTTCTGCCTCTGTGGTTTAAATTTACATTTTTACTTAAAGTTTAAATGTATGCAGGCTAACAACCTTGAATCAACTCCTGTCTCTTAAAACCTGAGCAATCCTTCCGTAAAACAGTTCCCGTTCTTTTTGCCAGACTTTGCCTGAGACAGTCAGGTGAAAGGGAATGTGTATTCCAAAGCATTAACATGGTTAGAAGTTATACTAGCTGGGACTGTTTTATGGATCAGAACTATAAATTATTTTTACTTACATAAGTGGACAAAGCACTCTACAAATACCAGCTTGTTTAATGATCACTGTTATTTATTATTTTTTTAATCAAACTTCATTATTCATCATTTTTCAATATGGTAGCCTGTAGGTTACTTGTTTTTAGATATTGACTTCTTGGGTCACTTGACCTCCAGCACATCCCTCTAAAAGAAACTGAAATTCCTCTAAATTTGACATACTTTGTGTAATATCGCACATCACATGCGGCAACAAAGGGCACGGACTCTGACAAGTGGTGAAGTGAAGATGTTTAATGTTTCATTTTTACAGCATGTATAGTTTCTCTCTTTTGATCACGTGCTGTGCTCTCCACACAGATAGGGTTTTTTTTTAAATGTGCAAAGTCACAACTACTTGCAACTAGAAAATGTTAACTTTCCATTAATAACTGTAAAAAATGTGGGGCTTAAATACTGCATAGTAAGAAACAATGTCATAAGGTAGGAAATAATATTAATTCCTGTAACTACCACTTTATTCCGCAAAAGTATTTAAGTATACTTTTATGAATCTATGCCCCTTTTTAATTGATCTAAAGAAACCACTGAAAAATCCTTTATTAACTTGGCTATTTGCATATGTAATGTCAGCTAATTTCTGTGGTTTAAATTTACCCATAACCTGCAGCTTGTGGAAACCAGGGTCCTTTTAATTAAACTATAGATTAATGTAGAGGTTTCAATCAGGAGACAGAAAAGCTGTTCAACTATGGAATCAAAACAGAGATTTAATGATGCTCTGTGCTTCTATTTTGAGGCCTTTGATTTGTGTTAGAGGCTATCAGAGGAAAAAATGGCTCCAGATAGGGTAAATAGTCGTGAAAATTGTCAGTGTTTTGGTCAGCACTCACGATCTCTGCATATGAGTAGATAGTGTTATCTCCACTGATTTTGTGGAAAGGTTCAGTAGGCAGCTTGAAAAGGTTCAAACCACTTCAGCATTGACAGTTCATTGGGGCAGTTTAGGTTCTTTTCCTATCAAGAATTGATTGATAGACTCAAATCTAGATTTTGTCTAATAATGTGAAAAAAATCTTACAGTTACTCTTGCTGCTGGTAATTTTTTGGCAGTTTTATATCAGGTTGAAGAGAGTATACTTTGTTTCCTTCCAATGACTCTCTAGTCTTTTGTGGTAATCAGGAAGGCGTATGCTTTTTGACATGTAATTATGCCAGAAATTGCCAGTGTACTTGGTCTGGTCTGTAGTTCTCACTGCTAGCTGAGAAGAGCTTCTGGAAAAGAAGTCCCTGTTCAACTGAACGTAGGATAAAGGTTGTACAGACGTGTACTTTCTTCCGGTTTCATAAATTCTATGAAGTCATGGATGTTCTCCAGGATGCTAAAGAATAATTCAGACTACCCTTATGCAACCATTATTGTGAGGTTATAAATGAACACAAATAATTTTTCTGTCCATTTACACATTCAGTCTGCACTAAGCTGAGACGTAGCATTTGTAGGCAACTGTTTCATCTCCTGTTGCACAGCTTTACCAGCAATTTATACCTACAGCTTTAAATATTTGTATAAGGTAGGGGGAGAGGGTGGGAAGATCCCAAAGGCTGCCAGAAAATTTGTAAGCATTCTTGAAGCATGCATCAGAGGCCATGTAACCCAACAGTGTGCATCTTGGTAGGATACAACCTTCAGAGAATTGCAGTTACAGGTGTGCAAATATCTTCCTGTATTGTTTGTAGCTTATTGCATAATGTCATGATAGTTCTATTTCTGCTTATGCATAGATATTAAGCACCGTCGACTGCCTGTTCTCTTCTTTGCTAACAAGATGGACCTCAGGGATGCAATATCATCTGTAAAAGTTTCTCAGTTACTGTCACTAGAAAACATCAAAGACAAGCCCTGGCATATCTGGTAATTTTCCCTTTTTCTACCCTTTTGTTGCTATTACTTTGTACATTGATATTTTCGCACTCCCATGCCACTCTGCATTATATAATATAAATTAAATCAAGCAGATAAAATGCTGTGCTGCCACATGTGGAAACAGTAGTAATATTACAATACTTGCTATGAAATTTGTTCTAAAGGTACAATGCATTCATGTAGTCTGTATCTTGAAAATTTTCACAGTAGAACTGTTAGTCAAATAATGAAATGTGAAAAGTAAAATCAGAAAGAAATGTTCTTATCAGAATAGCCGCTATTATTTTTTGCTGAGAAAATGAGTAGAATTGTTATCAGAGTGCTGCTGCTAATTTTTCTTGCAGATTTCAGAATATCAAGAATAAAGCCTTTAGAGTTCATTTTTTCCATTCTGTAAATGCTTTAGTAAACTACTGTTGAAAGTCCATTTAGTATACTGTACTTGTGTGATTTTAGAGGCACACCTTACTCTTTGTACCATGTAATGTTTGAGGGTTGGTGGTTTTTTTTTTCAGTTGTGGGAGCTAATGTCTTTTCTTTTTGAAGGATGTAAGCTTTCATATAAATAGGATGGGTTTTGTGCCAGTGTTCACAAGGAAAAAAAACCTTCTCCTTTTATCAGAAGTATTTTATAGAAGTTAGATTTTTGTCTTATTAAAATCCTCAGATACTATAAATAAAAGTGAAACCAACAGCTAAATGCTGCTGAAAACTACAGTAACTACAATTTTAATTTTAGGCCCTTTAATATTAAACTTGATTACCTGGGCAGTGTTTTGAGGTCACTGCTTTTTGTCTTTGAAATTACAGATGAATTCCCAAGCTCTTTGGAAGATAATTTTATAGCTAACGGCAGTAACAGTCCAGTTTCACTGCTGTGCCAGTTTTCATAAGCTGTAGAATGAGAGGCCTTTAAACAGTTATACCCCTGTGATTCAAAGGGTAGACTTACAATTTTTCAGTGTAGCTTAATATATATATTAACAGACACTCCTAGGGTTGCTGTTACAATGAAGTGTTGCACACACTATACTTTCTTCCTCCAATGTCCTCACTGTGTATAGGAGCTCCGTGGGAGGAGGAAAGGTGCTGCTGCTTCACTGTTCCTGTGGGTAGTAAATATCTTTTATAGCACAGTCTGAGGAGGGTGTTATCTAAGTGGAGTGCCACAAAACACGTAAGGTCTTATGCTGCCTTATGTGGGTGCTCTTCCAGAAGCCCTCATGTTCTAGTAACAACTCCTCTGCCTTGAAGCTGGAATTAAAATAGATCGTATCTTGAAACGGTGTTTCCATATTGGACAGGAACTCTAGAATGTATCACTCGAGAAGTAGCCTTCTCCATATGAAGAAAACTTAAGTAACCTCTACTCAGCTACTTTGCAATTCTGTAAATTACAAGTGAAGCTGATGATTTCAATAAACTGGTATTTTTACAGTTTTTTTAATATAATTTGATTTGGTTTTCAGTGCCAGTGATGCTCTTAAAGGCGAAGGATTACAAGAGGGTGTGGATTGGCTCCAAGGTATGTAATTTATAATTCTCTTGCTCTATTTTCAGCCTGTTAAACTTTTTCGGTTTGTAAGTTTTTTTTTCTTTATTATTTCCTTTGTTTTCTTTCTGTCCACTTCTGCTGTCAGACCAAATTACACAGTGAGTACTTGATGCTCTACCTCTTATTTGTCTTTCATTCACCTCCTTAATATACACAAAAGATCATGTCAGTTTCTCTGACAGAAGTGTGTCCCCTGGAATATTAATGCCTACTCTTGCAAACAGTGTTACACTTTCTCGTAAACAATACTAAGTCCAGGTGTTCCTGCACTTCATTATTGTGGTAGACCTGTTGTTCTTTAATGTATTCTTACTACCCTCTCCCAGTTTTACATAATTTAATGTTAAGTATCAGGAAATAATGAATAAGCAGGCTAGAAAAATAAGCAAAGTACAGAGACAAATACACCAGTTCTTACTATTCAACTTCAGTTTTTTAATCTAGAGCCAAAGAAAGAACAGCTTACATTATAACAATTACAGCATATGCAGACACTCACAACTACATAGAAAATAACAGATCCAGCTTAGAAGATGTATTACGTACACTTTTTTAATTACAAACTCGATATGGATGGTGTATATCCTTCTGTTGTATGTTGGTAAGGATCTGGTCTCTTTTGTCATCCTGCATACTGCTAAATGTATAGAATAGTGAAGTGTGGTATCGTTTTTGGTAGCTCATTCTGATTTTAGCTCCCTAGTTTGTGTTGCTTACATTGTGAGTGTATTAGGTAGCATAGTATAATCTGAATCTGCAAGATGGACAATGTCCCAGTAGCGGCGTGTTCTGTGCTCTGGCAGCCGCCAGATGTCAGCAATGCTCCGGAGTCAATGCCACTAAATTAATTTCCTTCAAGATGCAGCTAAATAATATCCAGCGTTGTCCTTGATTTAACATATCTCCACTTATCTCTGGATACCAGACTGTCTCTCCTTCTCGGAGTCCTTACTGCTAATTAGAAAGAGATGGTTTATTTTACTGTGTTATTATAGAATACAAAAATATTTGGTCATGTTTTCAGAGGAAGGGAAACTAGCCATAAGTTTCTTCACAAAGAGATTTACTACCCTACAGAAGAAAAGTGATGCATCCTCCACCATTCTATTATAGAGAAAGATTCCAAATCATACACTTCTTCCTAGTTTCAGACATAGTTCTGATTTTTGTAATATTTTCCTGTGATTTTCTGCTTACTTTTGAGGAACCTTCTAAGCTTGGATCCAAATTTTGACTTGATGTTCTTGTACATAGCTTCAAGCTACTTAAAAGGATCTTAAATAGATGTCTAAATATTTTCTGACAAAATATTTAAGCTGTATATGTAGATTTTTAAGCATGGTAAGCAGGTGCTTCTGCTGTCACTCACCCATATAGCTCTTCATAGCTATTCACTTCTCGTGGACTGTTAAGCTGCTTAATTTTCTGAGCTGAAATTCTTCATCAATGGACTTTATCTAAAAGAATTTCCTTTACCTCCCTATCTCAGTGTCCTCGAAAGCTTAAGAGAGGTTGGGTTTAAACTGTATTGTTGCCCAAGCATGTGCAGTTTGGCAATTATCAAAGTCTTCATCCATTAAAAGTATATTTCAAGAAAAATTTTTGCTATGATTCTCCTGTTCATTCCTACAGCACTGGAGGGAAATATTTGGAACAGCTCTTAAATTATAGTGGGCCCTAAATCACAGCCTGTGGATGCCATAAAATTCGGTGGAAGAAATGGCACCTGGTTAATGAACACACAGTTCTCCTTGTCAACAGACATGCTTTCCTTACCTTTTTTTGCAGACCAGTTACAGGTAGTTCACAGATTTGGGGATGCTGGGGCAGGAGGTTTTGCCTTTTTTCCCTAGTGAAGGCTGGGTTTGTATATTTCCCTGTTTTGTACCAAGGCATCTTCAGTAGAGTAAAACTAACCTGTTCACAACAGCCTGAACTCAGTTCATGTTCCTTATTAGTGGGGGAAATTGTCCTGATTTCCACGTTTTGTAATGGCCATGGAATAGATTTATACTAAGACGATGTTCGAAGTCAATTTAGAAGTAGCAATCAGGCAACGGTATGGAGAATTATTGCTACTGCCAGCAAAGAAGTTTTCATGTGAGTTACTCAAAAACAAACTTTAAATCCTTTGCTGTTGAGCAGTTAGTTCATGTGTAGTTATGTGAAAGCTGAAATGCACACAAGGAATTGAAATAAATACTTCATAACTTCTAGGTCTCTTCTTATTCTCATCAAAGTTACCTTATAAGCCTGAAAAAGATTAAAAATTCAATTATGTGGAAGAGTCTTCCTTTTTATTATCAACATTCAGGGGAAACAACATGGCTGTGGAGGAATTTCGGAAGTCAATGACAGCACAAGTTGAAAACAGCTCTAACTGCATTGTCCCTCATTCTTGTAACTACACTAAAATATCTACTGGAGTCATTCTGTAACCTGGGCATTACTTGGTTATGTTTTCAAAAAACAAAATACAGCAAGAATTCATCTTCCTTGTGTTAAGACTAGCTGTTTCTTTTTATTAACAGATCAGATCCAAGCAATGAAGACATGAGAGATAAATAAAAGACGTATGGCGTTCTCTTACAAACTTTGTCAGTAGGTGTGCAAATTTCCTGGAAAGGAAGAATGATTTAAAGAAAATGAACAGTTCAGCGAAAATATACAGCGTTGATTTGTTCCCTTTTAGTATCTCTTCCAGGAAAACTGAATGTAGACAACATAGCACCTCAGGTATGCACATCAATGAATTAAATTGAATCTTGAGACTGGAGAGCATATTTTTAAAAAAGATTTGTGTTAACAATAAACATCTGCATTCATTTGAGTTTTCAGTGATGACTAGCCATCATGAAATGCCCCTCTGTTTTTTGGGGGGACACATTTTGACCAAATGGGTATATTTATTTTTTTGAGAAAGAATAATCAGCACTTCCTGAAATACAGCTGCTGAAGATACCTACTGATTGTAGGTGCCCATTTTTAGGTATTTCTGCAATTTTTTTAATTGTAAAATTTGATGTTGGGTTTTTAGTAGCCATCTACAACAAGCTTCTAGAAGAATAGTTTGGTTTAAAATAAAAGGATCAAATATTCAGTGTATTTGTTATAGATGACTGCAGATGTTTTTAAGGAACTGCTTTTAAGGAAATGTTATGAATTGGTTTTGTGATATGCCATGGTTTTATTTGCATTGCCATCAATAAAACTTCAAATGTACAACATGCAATGGTTTGGATTTTTAACTTAAATATGTTCTTTGATGGTCCTTATATCTTAGAGATTTTTGATTTTCTGTTAGTTTCACCTGGAATTTGTTTGTCCATTTTCCAATGGAAATAGCACTGTATATTGTAATAAAATGGTATCTCTTTTGCCAAGCTTTTTTTTTAATTGCATATATTTGTTGCACTTTCTAATAAAATAGACTGCTCTTCCAAATATTTAAAGAGAATATGGTTGAAAGTTGTATTTTGGAAACAAGCTAAGGGTCAGTTCACTAGTTTACTAGGTCATTAATATGAAATGTCTTATACTTCTGTTGAGTATAAAAACTTTTACTTTCAGGAATAATTGTAATTAACTTTCTGACTTCAAAAATATACCATTGGTAACAAATTAAGCCAATGCTAAGGACTTTATTTGTGTTATGCCACTTCTTCCCCTTTAATCCCTCCTCCCTTGTCCAAGACACAAGCAGACCTGCACTGGCAATGCTGAAAGACTGTATTTAACTGAGTGATTAGCTGATCCCTCTGGGAGATGTAATATGTAGGTTTTGCAAAAGCTTTCCCCCCCTTATTAGCACATAAAACACACAAATGTTGTGTAAGCAAGCCTTCTAGGGCTCGCTTCATAGAGGAATATTTGGAGCCAAGGGACCTGCCTGAAATGGTAGAACAGTTTCATGTACTTTCAGTTATTATTAAACAGTTAAAATTAACTCCCCTGCTTTGCTAGAGGGAACTAAGTCTTACTGTAACACAGGATATTACAATTCTGACAGTTCAGTTTTTTATGAAAGTATTTCTTTCATGTGTCTTGTGATAACTTTAACCTTCTGTCAACTCTGAATCTAAATATCTATATAAAATCAAATGCAAAGGAGGAAAAATAAATAATTCTGAGACGGTTTTGAGTTGTGGGGCAGATAATTTTCTGATATACTTTGCACTAGATAATATGGTGACAAAATTAATACTTGTGGGAAACATCTTTTGCTGAGTCTAAATATTTCATAATTATTTTGATTCATGTATATGGCTTAAATGAAATATTTAATTGTAAGTTGGCATTAATTCTGTTTCTACCAAAGAAAATTTGAGTTCTTACATAAAATCTGTCTGCGTTTCTGACTTTTTTGAATAATCTGGAACTTGATGGCTTTCTGATTATTTTTGTTTATTTATGTTGGACTACACAAAGTACTATGTTTATCTTGTGGATTGCTCTTACTATAATAGGAAGCTGTTTGAACCTATTGCTTTGTTCTTCCACAAATCTGAGGAAAGTACCCTATTGTCTTTTACTTTTTTCTTTCCGGTGTGGTTAGTAAGCCCTTTTTGAAAACAGCAGTTACTTACATTGATTATTGATCCCCTTCTTGGGTTTTTCTTTGTTTTGTTTTTGTGTTTTTCTTAAGCAGCTCTTTCTGTTCCCCTCCTACCAGGACACTGGGCTGGATGGACACCTCTTGGAAGGAGTGGGAATGGGGATAGTCCCATATAGTGAAATGTTTGATTATTTTTTGGTTGTTTTTTTTTTTTTTTTTCCATTATTGCTTTAGCCATTACTTGTCTCTCACTTCTGTGTGTTCATTCCTCCACTCTCCCACAGTACGCAGGCATAGGTCCATAACATAAACAGTTCCTAAAGCCTTGAGCTGTTCTAATAATGTTGAGTTTGGTACAAGGAATGTATATTGCACAAAAGCCTCATGCATCTGTGCAAAAAGGCTTCTTTGGAGTTGTTTTCTGAGGGCCCAGTGGCTGTTGGTCTTCAGTGCTGTTTTCCCATTACATTTAGGATGTTAAAATAATTAGAATAATGAGTTCTACCTGGATGCTGCAAGACTGCTCACATGTATGAGTTAATTGTGCCTTAAAACAAGGCAGACAAGTTCCTTTGGAGGCTTAAATGGCACTTGCAGAATATTCCCTTTTTTTCCTCCATGTTACTACGGATGTATATGGTTAAGTGGAAACTTAAAAGGCAATAGAGTGACTAAAAGAGACTTGGAGAGTTTAGTCTTGACATCCCACACAATCTTATGTGCTAAGCACACTGCCTTCCTATGTATTTATGAATTTCCTAAAAATATGCCTAGTAACACATAAGACTATAGCATTTTCAGCTGAAATAGACTCATAGAATGGTCTGGGTTGGAAGGGACCTCAAAGATCATCTAGTTCCAACCCCCCTGCCATGGGCAGGGACACCTCCCACCAGACCAGGTTGCTCAAAGCCTCATCCAGCCTGGCCTTGAACACTTCCAGGGATGGGGCATCCACAGCTTCCCTGGGCAACCTGTTCCAGTGCCTCACCACCCTTATAGTAAAAAATTTCTTCCCGAGATCTAATCTGAATCTTTTTTCTTCCAATTTAATAGAGGTAATGGCTCTCGCATTCAAAGCACTGTCCTTTACATCTCTTCTTTACAAGTCGGGGGTATCAGGTAAATGTGTGAATCCTAATTCTTTCTCACCTTGCCTCTCTGGTACTCGGGACACAAGTCCATGGGAACTCTGTGTTTAACCTGTAGGAGGTTAATGCTGAGTGTCTGCCTGGCCTGACAACTCCTGGGCAATTTGCTGTTCAGCAAGTGCAGTTCTAAGTGTTAGAATGTAAATGTAATGGATCCTTCTTTTAATCTCAGCCCTCTAACTATAATATGTTTGGGGTTTTTTATTTACTAATAGGAAAGATAAGCCGCTGTGAAAGGCCAGACATAAGAGCTCAGGTGCAGTGTGTAGCTGTCTATGGGAAAGCATTCTGATGTGGTAATATGTGGAATGGTAATGGTGCATTTCCGTGCTGCCTTAGAACAGCTGCGCAACCCTCTGGCTCAGGTAGCAGCTTGTCCCTGAGAAGCTCTAACTAGGAAATAACATTTTGTCAGTAATAAGAACTAAAATTAATGTTAATTCAAAATGCTTGTCCTTAAAAGCAGACACTTCTATGCCAAGAAATGCAGTTTAATCTTAAATTTTATCTTTTTAAGTTTTACTTGTTTGGGAAATCACTCTCCTTATGGTTAATTCCGGTCATCCTCTTCTTTAATTCTTTCTGGTCTGCCTTATTTCTGTTTCACAGAAATACTTACAAATCTTGCTCTTAAACTTTCTGCTCTGGTCCTTTTAACTTTTGCCGAGTACTCTGCTAGTGAAACTTTGCAGGTTCCTTCCCTGTTGTTTCTTTTGAGAAACAAAATAGGTAATGACAGAAGGTCACAGAAGACTGGAATAAAAAAAAGCAAAAAAGGGGACTACTGAGAAAAGGCTTCAATTCTCCTCTTTCAAAGCAAACTTACCTGACCTTTCTGAAAGGTTAACTTCATATGTCCTGATCTTTTTTTATTATTGCACAGCCCATTGACTGCTTAAATTGTAAAATGCACTGTGACTGTGCAAAAGTAATATTATGTGTACAAGCTAATCAGAATTCAGGACTTATAATGCTGTCTTATAATAAATGCCAAGTGTTTTTGGTAATATTCTGTAACCATACTTCAGTTCTGAGGCTCTGTAGCTCCTGTCACAGTAAGTTACATCGTGGAAGCAGCTGTGTTGGTGTGAACCAGTACTTTATAATTAATTTACCAGTATTCAGTCAGTTGGATTGTTGCTTAATTGGCTGAATACTTCTAGCCATATGAAGTTCTTGTTCTCAGAAGTACAGTGTGTATGTGATAACGTACTGTTCTCTTTCAGTGGATGTCAGGATCTCGCCATGCGAATCAGACATGTTTACTTTTTCCACTTTTCTAATGATAGCAAGAAACACACTCCCACTACACTTTTTCAAAATCAACTCTTAAAATGAAAGCTAAACCATTAATGTCTCTTGTCTACCATTAAATGATCCTGTTTCACAAATTATCAGAAGATGAACTTAATTGTATTGCAGTCATATTACTCAGGCACCAACTAACAAGAGAGCATAAGTAATTTCGCTGTGATTCAGGGAGCACCTTTGCATATCAGGTTAACTTGTTTAGTAAAAGAAGTGTAAATTTCATGTTACACAGTCTTTAAGAACAATTTTGTCTTTGGAGAGCAGTAAGTAGATTGTAGGTCTAGCAAGATAATTATTGGACCAAATGTAGTTTGCTGAAGTGTTGCCTAACAGTTCTCAGTAAAGGGAAGAAAAGACAGGAAGGAAAGAATGGAAGAAATCAAGGAAATTGGGATGTGTGGAAGAAGTTTGTTTGGGATGAAGTAGAGTCATGCTAATGAATGCTGAAGAAAATGAAGCCTCTTGAGGGTCAGGGAAATAACCATGATAAATGACTGAAGCGGATGCTTGGCAATACATGCTCCTTAGTAAGGGGAGCAGCCCCATCAAACTGCTTTTGTAGAGCAAGGTAGTTGGTGTTGAAGTCCTGATGTCCCCAGTCTGCTTCTGAGTTTCCTTCAGCCTGGCTCCTTTCTGACCCTCCAGACTGAGTGCCTCTTCCTTGCTGGAGCTTGCTGGGTGTGCTCTGAGCTTTACAGTGTAGTTTCATCCAAAAAGAATTCAGTTTGTGTACTTGCAGCCTACTTTGCAATGTAAACAAAAGCACTGTTGGTGAGGATGATCTTTAAAGTACCCTTATGACCTGAACTAACACTCTAGCCTAGGCATGCCTGTACAAATTTAAGAGGGAAACAATCCCAAAGTTTTAAAACCATAGCATTGAAGCCATGTAAAAGAAGAACTTGGCAAGAGGTCTCCAGATGCCAAGGTTCCCCAGGAATAATTCCACTGAAATACCTAGTTTAAAATACAAGTTTGTAGTACACAGTCCAGTCAGAACTGGGAAAGTTTATTCCACTAATAAAGGATACAACCATTAGACAGGGATTTAGTGGTAACACTTCCTTGCTGTTTAGAGAAAACAGCATAATGTGAGTTGTGAGAAACAGGCAGTCATGAGTAAAAGGAGTTCTTATCGGCTGTCGAGCATCATTGCTGTTCCTGGTATTGTCTGTATCTACGATCACACAGGTCTTACTAGGGGAAAACTCTGCAATGATTTTTTTGACTTAAAATCTCACTCTGCATGTAAATCTGTATGTTTTAATCTTATCCCCCACCATCTACTAGCATAAACTGAACAGAAAAAAAGTGTCTAAAAATTGATTTAACAAGTAACAAATGGATTCAATGAATCAGGAAGTGTATGTTGTTTTCAATGATAACAATATTCAAAGATTTTTTTCATCATTTATTATACTATCAATGGATTATATGGAAGTGACATTGTTGCTTTAGAGGACTAAGGATGGATGAAGCATTTCTACTCAAGGGTAGTGTGTTTCTGCTGGGAAAGGTGATGCTTTTGTCTTGTAATGCTTCCCCTTCCTCTCCCCCTCTTTTGTTAGAGATCTTTTACATTTTTAAGGTAGTTTTCAAAGAGAAATTGTTAGTCTGTTTTGAGGTGCCTAGAACCGATGAATAATTGTCTGGTTTAAGTCCCCTGATGAGGTTTAAATTAAGAGAAAAAAAATTTTGGCAGCAGTTTCAAAGCAGGTTGAATTGATCTATAAACGAATCCAATCTCTAGTGGTTAGAAAGTATTGCTGCATATTGCATTAAGGTTTGAGCCTTACTACTTCTTTAATTGGCACCATTATAAAATAAGAACAATAGATTTTATCTTAGAAAACAATTGTAGAATAGCCACTTCAGTGCTGATTTATCAATATTAGCATATATATAGACCTTTCATGTTGTAGCATCACAGTTTCTGGAAATTAAAAGGCACATACCCAAAATCAATTAGTCTAGATTGTAGGAATATTTTTGAGTACTAAATTTCTTTTTCATCCATTTCATAACTGCTAAAGTACTACTTAGTTTTCTGTCTACTCTGACATGTCGTGCAGTGACTCAAAAAAGGATTAAAAAAAATACCTTCTGTGAGTAGTAAGTG